AACCGTCCAAGTAGAGACACGAAACTGAGTCAGATTCAAGGAGAAAAAATCAGATGTTCGATGAAAAATGAACCTGAACTGGTGGTTGGAGGGCCATTACAAGCAGCAATGGTTGGGGTGGCTGAAATCAAATTAGCCGCTAATTAGCCGCCTTGGAATCGAGAAGCCCTGTCCATGCTTGCCTCTTGGTTCCACGAGCATGACCCGGTACATCGGTACACTTTTTCTTCCACCAGATCCAGATCCTGTCAGAATTTTGTGCCAAGATTGCATATTGATTTCCCTATCGCCACGGCACTTTTGTTTGTCATTGGACCCATGTGCCATCGTCACGACCGACCTGTCATTGTTGGGTTGAGGGTCGGTGGTTTCAAGCCGTCCCACGCATGTTCTATAGTCTATTGGGATCATCATCCCTAGATTACTCCAAAAAAGTCGCAAAGAAATTCTTAAAACCACCAAGCACTTAGGAAGTACCACAGAAAACTCATGAATCTACATGAGGTTCCCCCACGCCCATGTGCTTCGTCTTTTTTCCAGATTATCATGTAAGTTTTTCATGACCAGGTCGTCCCAGCAGCACGTGCATTCCATTAAACTGTCCCAGCCGTGCGGCCGTGCGGTTTGCTATCACTTTCTCATTGCTCTGCTGATCACAGAGACTGACAGGAAGGCGAATCCATGAAGGTAGCCTTGCAGGGGTTCTTGCAAATTTGGGTATGGGTCTAAATAAAAATGGGTGTGTCTGAAAATGCGGATACTGCAGATACCACAATAAAAATAAGATGCGAGTCGTTCAACCATGAATTTGAGGGACCATTTTCAGACAAACCCAAATCCACCAACTGATTGTACATCATAATCATCATATATCCAATTATTAAACTAGATATTTATATAATATTACATCCCATATTTGATGGTTAGTATCTATCATGAACATCCAAGTCATCCAAATCATCCAATGGATGGCATCTTGTCTTCCCTTTCCTGCGACCGTGGTCGATGTCTCTGGCTCGAGCCTGGACCTGATGACTTTCGCGACTTATTTCACAGGACTATTCCAAGTCGGACTTGTGGTATAGCTATAGCGAATGATGGGGCTATAAATATGTTAACCAACCTGAAGGTGGGCGAAATCTTTCGAAATCATGTTCTGATAAGCTCGAAAAAAAACAACTCGAATTCACAAACCCAAATCGGTCTCTAAAAAGCCACCCATCGTTGTCCCAAGAGCTCTGCCAAGGACTACGGGCTCAAGAGGCCACCAGTCATCGGCCATGAGACGCTCTTAGAAGCCGCTGGGAGTGGCTTGATTTTTTTTCAGTGGTGACTGCCTTCTTGTCAAATGTCATGAAACTGAAATACTTGCGACTCATGTCGTGCCACCATCTCCCGAGCATTTTCAGGTTTTCACCTCATGCCCTGACTCGCGACCAGGTGGTATAAAATACTTCAAACGCATAAAGTCTCTGGAAAGTCGGCTGGGAAATTAGACACCAACGAGTGTGGATTGCTGCTGACTTTATGTGTATCACTGTATCACTGTATCACACTTGACTATGCAAGACAGCACACACGAAAGTGCATTCTGAAGGACCAACTCGGTCTCATTTTCTTATCTTCCCAGGGTCTTGTGACTGTTCAGAAATACAGGTGAAACGGTTCAAAGATGATAAAAGGCCAAGGTCAAATGGGCAGCCTAAGGCCGGCGAAAACCTCGGAATTCGAAACCGATCTGACAGATATATCAAGATCCTGAAACCCTTGGGACAAAGACAAGTCAAGTTTCAACATGTTCAGACAATGTCGGAACCAACGCCTTCAAGACCTCCCAGCAGAAAGTGAGTTCAAATAAAATCCAATGCTTTGCCTGTGACACTTGAAATCCGCTTCCTGAGTTTTGCACTTGACATCTGCCTCACAGGATAAGGCGAGTGCTCGTCAAGAGTGTGATGAGAGTTGCAACAAATAACCATGACCTGCGGCAATGAAAGTTTCTGCTTGAGAGGGTCTGGTTGCCCTTCGCTACTGAGTCTTGCACATACGTCAAATGTAAACGCATGATGTTCACTTCAAAAAATGTATGTATGTGTAGTGTGTAGTGTTTGGTGTGTGGTGCGAGGTGTGTGGTGTGCAGTGTGTCGTGTGTCGTGTATAGTGCGCAGTGTGCAACGCAAAGCAAGGCAGCAAAGTCAAGTAATGTTGAGTAAAGCGGCGTGATACAACGCAATGCATTCTAATGATGAGACGCAATGTAATGCAATGGAATGTAATGCAATGTAATGCAATGTAATGCAATGTAATGCAATGTAATGTAATGCAATGGAATGTAATGCAATGTAATGCAATGTAATGCAATGTAATGCAATGTAATGCAATGTAATGCAATGTAATGCAATGTAATGCAATGTAATGCAATGTAATGCAATGTAATGCAATACAATGCAATGGAATGTAGTGCAACGCAATGCAATGGTATGTAGTGCAATGTAATGCAATGGAATATAGTGCAATGTAATGCAATGGAATGTAGTGCAATGTAATGCAAAGTAACAGAATGATGAGGTGCAAGATTCTCTAATTGACATATACTGAGTATATATGTGCTCAAATGTTATGATCAGGGTAGACCACCAAGACAGCTTCAGAGAAAAACTGCAGGATCAGCAGCAGCTCCCATCGCCAATTTTCAACGTCAGCTCTCTCCAGTTCTCGGTAGAGCTTCCATGACTTCCTGAGCAAACGTACCCGACTTGATTCAAGGGGACGTTCCTTTGGTAGCTTGGTAAACTTCTTCTGGTACAGATCAAGAATTTGGACCCAATTTTTAGTGAGGTGGTGGTCTGACCGGTAAACTTTGGCGGATTTCTTCAATTTCTTCTCCAAGGTTTTCCGGGTTTTCCGGCAGAGAAATCCCTGATCGAAAATCTCCAAGGAACAATCCGCTTGAGGAGATCCTTTCTTTCCCTGCGCTGATCCTGGAAAGTCTAGCAATCCCAGAGGTTTTGAAGATTGGGAAGGATGATGTCAAAGAAAATAAAGAAAGTACCAGGCACCAGGCTGATCCAGGCTGCTCAGGTGCCATTGATTTGTCAACAAAAAGTACATAGCATAGCCCTTAGCGGGCGGTGCTCTCCTCATTGGCACATTCCAAATCATCCAAGCTGTCGATGGCCTTTTGAAGCAGTTGATCCTTGCAAATCCGAGCCGAAGCGGCGAACAGAAAACCAAAGTCTTCAGGCATTTCTTGGCTTCTGATCATCAATTAGTTTGGAGCTTCGCCCTGCAACATGATGAGATTTGATGGCTTTTTGAAGTCGGACTCTCCATGTCTGCTCCGAAAATCCAGCACTGCAACTCGACGTTGAGGCCATCATGACGCGAAATTGATAACTCCGATTCCAATTATCAAATAGATCCAGAATCACCATGAAGAATCCCTTCCCCCGTTCATATTACCCAGACGTCTATAGACCCTAGATCCAGTACTGGATCCATTGATTAGGGCCCCAAATTTAGGGAATCTTTCATGGGGAATAAGATTTATAATCCCATAGCCGTCCTGGCGCGCTCCGCCAGAAGCTTCCAGTGACTCCACCAAGCGTTTGCTTGCCGCGAGGCTCTGCCTCAGCGTTGAATTTGGAAAAAAAAACTAAAATCGGGGAAATTGACCATACTAATGCTGATTTAAGGCAGTATTTAACCATAGAAAATGGTGATCTAACCATAGAAAATGAGGATTCAAAGAAAGAAAATGATCGCAGCACAATCCCCATCAATCCCCATCAATCCCCTGTACCTTTGAACCAACAGGATATCACTTCGGCCCAAGGCCGAACAATCAACAGTGGTCCAATGTAAGGCGTTGCCAAGAATCATCCACAAAAAAACAGGTCCAAATTCAGGGATGTAGTTCTTCGCGCAGTGGTCGGTGACAATGAGTGTTTTGGTGTAGTGCAAAGCCATGCCACAAACATCTCAATCTTTTCACAGGACTTTGTGGGCCCGGAGCTTCAAAAACATTCAATGAGGGATCATCCTGCATCCCGGCCACAACCCACCCCATCCAACATTCACCGCTGGTGTTTGCTGTGTTTTGTGAGAACATATGCGACAAACACAAAAAGCGCGCGTTCGCCAATGTCGACGGTGGAAACTCGTTTCCAGCATGCCCCGATCAAATCTTGTGCCAGCTTGGTTTGACAGCTCAAATGACTGTAGTCGTGACGATCCAGAAAGAAAATACATATGTGGGGATGTGTCTACCCCTGGTGAACATCAAAATAGCTGGTAAATGGATGTTCATTATTGATCCATAGCCATGTGTCTGTTTGTATAGTCTCTTTTGACAGAAACTAAAGAAAAGTATCTTATCCTAGCCATTTGCACATGTTTCTTTTCCATGTGTCCAAGTCACATTGCCTCTTTCGTGCGACGATCAATGCAATCATGTGCCTGCCTGAGGGTTTGGCAGACCCAACGAAGCTGTGGGGTGGAAGTCCACGGATCGCGTTGGATTGTTTCAACTGGTTCTGTTGGGATTTTTTTACAGGAAAACTCCCCATGCTTAATCGGAAAACCCAGGATTTCCCAATGAAAAAACCATTGCTGTCCAATTAGACAAGAGATCATCTCGCATCGTACAGATCAAAAATCTGATGCTGTATGGCAAACCTGATCTATATATATACCATATATATATATAGTATCACAAAAGTCGATGTGGGTCCCCAAAAGGAATAGATCCAATGCATTCCAGCAGTGTTTCTTAGGAGGTATTCAAAGTTAGGGGAAGAGATTCTTACCCATCTTGACCCATCCGCAGTTGAAGTCCCATTACATTATAATCAAATTATAATGGACTATATCCCCATGAAATATCAACACAAAATCAAGGATCAAAATTCATTTAAAAAAGTCTGAAAAAGTGGGTGTGCCAGTAGCCATGGGCTATACCCCGAATGTAGCCATCAAAAACAGGAAGTCTGATGATTAGCTTAACATTTAGCAGTGATATTCATTGATTCACCATCAAATTTCACCCCCTTTTTTTCCTCCCCAAAAATGCTCAGCCAAAACCCGTCGTCATCGCCGAGCCACTCGATCCGCTCGATCAGCGCCTTGCGTGCCTGCCGTGCCTCGCTGCCAGGCGCTAACGAAAGGTCATCCAGAGCTTCCGCGGCCTTTGGAAAGGTCATGAGAAAACCCCGTTGCGGCGGGCTCGGTTTGTTGGGGGATATGGATACATTGGTTGAAACACTGGTTGAATTTGGTTGGTAGGTTTTAAATAAACCTTTCTGGGGATAATGGGTTGATATGGGGTGTATACGGGCTGATATGGAGAATGGTTGATAAATGTTTACCCATCGCTGGTAGTTATGTGGATCTTCAGCCATTGCAAATGGTGGCGTAACCCGTGCTGATGTTCACTATGTTCAAATCATAGTGCACAGTTTCAAGTCGATTCTCAAGTCCTGTCGGTCTATCAGAGTCTATCAGAATGAAGTCTGTGCAAGGCACCCGAATTATACAACATGATTTCATCCGTTCTATGTTGCATAGACCTTTCAAAGGATGTTAAAACATGATCCCGTCGCCCGTAGGAGCGCTGGACTGGTGTCACATCTGAAATCACTTATTTTTGACGCGTTGTTTCAATTTTGCAACCCTTGTGAGTGTTTTAAGACTTCTAACATTTTGTTTGTGATTCATGGCATGCAAAATTCACTGTAAGGGGGTGGAAAAATGGCTGTCTTGTGATGAAAGCAGTGCGAGGGTCAGCGATTTTGTCCCTCTTCTGCCCCTTTTTCTTGGCAGTCAGCGAGTTTATTGCAGGGGTTTCCAAGTTTTTGGAACAGAGAACATTGAACCTGTCTTCTCCAGTTGACCACAGCTCCTTTTGTTTGATTTTTCCGTGTCTTTTCGTAGTGGTGATTTCTTTACAAGATTGCTGAGGAGGTTTGCTGTATAGAAAGAAGTAGAAGAAAAGATCTAAAAGCATAGCGTCAATCATGTTGGAAAGTAGAAGAAAAGATCTCTGAGTGTAGCATCAATTATGTTTGAAATTAGAAGAGAAGATCTAACAGCGTATCATCATCTAATTACGCACTGGACAGGAAGTTGCACCCCAAAATCTGGTGCAAAACCCAACGACACTGACATAGCAGGCAAGAGGTGTCCACAGCCGCCTTCGTCAATTCATCATCCCAGGCTCGCGCACCACCTGGGAACGGGACCACATTTCAGTTTCAGTGCTGATTTATGTTGATTTCTTGAATCTTGTTTGGCACCAAGGAAATATGGAGCCAATGGCCCCACTGCCTCTCCAATTCGAATCATCTTGGAGATAGTGTTTTACAGTCGAACGTGTGCCTTGGGCTGCCCTCCAGTTCTGTCCAAGTGTCGCAAATGGTCATGTGCTGCCTGCGACACCACGCGAAAAAGGGAGAAAACACATGGCATGAACGGCCGTAGTCTAACCTGGCACTGGAAGATGTCCCATTTATTCAAAAACACAACCACAGCTCCCTAGCTCCCTCAAAACCACCAGATGAATCTTATTTCAATGTAACCCTGGTGATTCCATGGTTTTCCCACTAACATTCAGCCATTTGTTCTCCATGTTTTTAAAGCCATTTCGGGCCTGTTTCTCCAGCTCCATGACCTGTTGCTGGATCTTGTACAACATCTGGGTCGCTGGATCCACCGGCGCTGGGTCTGGCGCTGCTTCTGGCGCAGGGAATGGAGCCGCAGCTGGAGCAGCTGCAGGGGCTGGCTGCTCGCTCTCTCCAAAGACATTCCTTAGATTTTTTGGAACAAAAAAAATGAACATGAGATTGAAGTGCATCTATCTGTATGAATGTATGAATGTATGAATGTATGAATGTATGAATGTATGAATGTATGAATGTATGAATGTATGAATGTATGAATGTATGAATGTATGTATGTATGTATGTATGTTTGTTATGTAATGTAATGTAATGTAATGTAAGGTATGGTATGGTATGTATATGTATATGTATATGTATATGTATAAGTATAAATATATGTATATATATATGTATAAATATATATATATATGTATAAATAAAAATATATATATGTGTGTGTGTAGCTGCAGGCTGTAGCTACACAGATTTCAGATAGTTAGTTATTTGTGTGTGTGTGTGCGTTCGTGCGCTTTTATATAATATAACATACAGTGTATGTATATCCATATATACATATATACCATGAGGATTCCTGAGGATCCTACAATGATGGTTGCATGCATTTCTGACTGCTTATCTGATTAATTTCCGGTAAATTCCCATGAACTGAAGGGGCATAACCGGTGACCTTAGTTTCCCATGATTCGTTACGGTTTGTCACGGTCTGCCGTCACGGTTTGTCAAGCAACTGTTGGGCAGTTTGGAGCCAATATGGCCCCTTTTCCGACAAAATGCATTTCCAACTCTCACATTTCGACATGCGCTATCTGCGATCATCAGAAATGATTTCATTATTTACATGCATTTCCGATTTTGACCCATTGGTGTGCATGGATCCTCCATCAAAGCCAACCTCTGTGCGGCCCAATCTCCAGCTGCCGATGCCCTCAAAAGCACTTCGGACACCTGGGTCAACGTGATTGGCCCATCAAGATCTCCATTTGTAGAACATTTCCAAGCCATTGTTTGGCAATTGGGGTGTCTTTGAAAATTTGGTCTACCTCCCAAAAATTGCGTTCTGCGGGAGGGATAGATGGTTGGATACTGAAAACAATCATGACCAATTCAGTGGGTCGATTGATACCTCATTTCCGATCCGTATCCGCTGCCCCGCTTCATCAACTCCAGGTCCATCTGGGTTCGACAAAAAATAAATACAAGGATTTCTCGGATTTAGCTCCATCGGATTTGGGGATCCCATTTTTTGGGTGGTTTTGATATATGTCCATCTTTTTCCCCATGAAAGCTGCGTTGGTGTCTACCCCGTTGACTCGCCCTAGCGATCTGCCAGGCCGCTGTCCGCAACCTCGCTGATGCCCCTGGCTGTCATGCGGCCAATGTCCTCCGCAGGATTTCTTGAACAGACTTGCTTTTAGAGAGGATCCCATCATACTCATATATACATATATATATATATACAATATGTATATACACATATATAGATATGATGGCCTACAATAGGGCCTACAACTCAATAGATTCTTGTTGATCCTGGAAGTCTTCTTTGAAAAGATGGCTTAATTCCCATGATTCCGCCAGCTCCTCATGAAAATCCCCAAGAATGTGACTCTCCACTTGGGGGTGCAATTGAGGTTACAAGTGGGTATAACCATAGTCGTAATTCCCCATAAGTTGGGATATAATCCCTATAACTATGGTGAAATCATGTGAAATCCATCCACTTAGTTCACAGTTCCACTGCATTTCCAAGCAGAGATCTGTGTACCACCCACCACACCCGCGGTGTTTTGACGTCCGAAAGGTCGAAGTCGCCAGCTTTGTGTCGTGCATCGTCCAGAAGCTGCGCCAGGTGTGTATGGCCGCGGGCCTCTGCATAGCCTGGCTCTGGGGACATGGCGATTTCAAGGGAATCTCATCAAACACGGCTGGGAAATCACCGATAAATGGAGGTGTATAGCTGGGAAAATCCACTATCAATGGGAGATTGCCCACTGCCATGGTTCATTACCGGAGGGCTTTTGATGGAAAATGCCAACCTCTCCTGGTTGGTTTAGCATCATGGACTACAACAATCCACAATATCATAATACAATGGGTAGTATAATACCCAAACTAATCATCAACCAACAAGGGTTTTGAACTGCTTAAATCTTGAAGGACTGATTTAAGGGGAAATTGAGGTTGAAAGCGTGGTTTTTACTAAAGTGTTTACCACCAAATATCTGGATTTGCCTGTAAAATGTTCCCTTCAAGAAATTCTAGGACATTGAGGACTTTGCGGAGTTAACCATTGAATGGGGACATATGTTTCCCTCAAAATCATGCTGCTGGCCTTGAGCGCAGCAGCGCAACTACAAATGCAAGGCAGATCTCCTGTATAACTGTATAACTAAGCCACTAAGCATGCCAACAAGAATGGATATGATAGGTATAGACAAAAAGCTGAAATTTACCCAGCTACCCGAACTTAGGTGGTACTTGTGATGGGTGGTTTAGGGTGGTTCAGGGAGGTTCCAGTGCGGGCTCTGGTTGCGGGTTGACGGTGGGTGGTTGTGAAGGGTTCCAGAGGTTCCGAGCATGGTTTCGGGGTTGGTTCCGGTCGCTGTGTCCGAGACAGCAGGTGCCGACTGCCTGATGTCACACTTCCTACCACCTTTGCTATCGGGGATACCCGGGCGCATTTTTCTCCAAGAAACGCGCAGCTACAAGGCCTTGGGAATCAACAAAAGTGGGATCTGCTCTGGCCTCCAATAGGACCTGCAGGGTCAAATGGAAGGATGCTTCCGGAATTTGGGTATGGATCCAAAATGGGGCTAGCAATGGATCCACAAATGACTGGTGATTTTTTGTATCAAACCATACCGCTTCGGGGTTGATAATTTTAACCCATATCCATTCAAAATAGATGTGTTCAATTTGTTTCGCGGTCTGCACTCCTTGATAGAGCGCAGCCCTGCCGCGATTTGAGTGAAAGCATCAAATGGATTACAGTATAAATATTAACCTCCATTAAAGCAACGTAGATATGGAACGTCTTCCATTTGTAGACATCATTTTCTGGAAAATCATGGTTTTCCATATCTACATCAATTTACTAGAGGGTATATTAACAGTATATATTAGTAATAGATTAAGTAACTACTTTATCTTTGTCAACAAAATATCCCAAAACTCTCCCATCGCCTCAACAACCTGTTGGCAACCAAAGGCTGCAGCCAAATGCAGAGGCGTGGCATTGAGATGGTCATGCCTTGGTTGTGGTCGTGCTGGGATGAAACATCGACAACAGCGCTTCGGATTGTTGGTATGTGGCTATGGTATGTTATGGGTATGACTTAAAATTTGAGGCAGCAACCGAGATTTTGACCATTGTAATAGTATTCGCCATCCAAAGTTTGGGGAGTTACAGTAGCCAATTCTTGAGCCATGGCCATTTCAACAGCAGGCTAAACTGAGTGGAGGTTTCCTGAAATAGGGGTACTCCCAAATCATCCATTTATATGGATTTTCCATAAACCACCCATTATAAAACCATGGATTTCCCATAATTTTCGTAGATTTCCCATTTGGGGGTATCCTCCATTTATGGAAATCTCCATTGAAGTCTGCTGCTTCGTTGCATCGGCATGTCCTTTGAGGCTCCGCAGCGAAGCAGCCGTCGCACGATTCCATCCTTCAGCACTGATTGTTTTTGCCCCAACCAACTGTATCTATGTATAGATATATACATATATGTATATATATATATATGTATACTATACATATATATATATAGTTTTTTCTCTGTATGTAATGTAATCTCATGTCATGTCATGTATTGTCATGTAATATAATGTATGTCATGTATGTCATGTATGTAATGTATGTAATGTATGTCTGCATGTAATATCTGTAATGTATGTAATGTATGTCTGCATGTAATGTATGAATGTACTGAATGCATGTAATGTATGCATGTAATGTATGCATGTAATGTATGCATGCAATGTATGCATGAAATGTATGCATGTAATATATGTATGTAACTTAACGTATGTATGTAATTTAATGTATGTATGTAATGTTATCTTATGTAACATTATGTAATGTTATGTACTGGTCTGTACTGGTATGTAACGGTATGTAAAGTTATGTAATGTTATGTATTCTTATGTAATGTTGTGTAGTGTTATGCAATGCTATGTCATGTTATGCAGGGGTATGTAATGGAATGTAAAGTGATGTAATGTTATGTATGTACATATGTACATGTGTGCACATATATATATATACACATATGTGCACAGGTTCCAGTGCGTTTCGAATGACTTGGCAAGGCAGCCGCCAGCCTGTCCCAAGCGTGCAGCGATGTGCAACGGCGCTTCGCCCGAAGCGGGATCAATGTGATTGCCTCAGTGTTGGCTATTGATGTTCATCCCATTCGTGTCCTCAGGTCCAACCAACCATCCATCCGTCCATCTGTCTCTCTTTCTGTATAGTTCACTACATCTATGTAAAGTATCCATAACGGCATTGCGTACATACATACAGACAGATAGATAGATAGATTAGATTAGATAGATAAGAGTAGATAGAAATTAGATAGATAAGATTAGATAGATAAGATTAGAAAGATAAGATTAGATAAGATTGGATAGATAAGATTAGATAGATAACATTAGATATGATTAGATTAGATAAATAAGATTACAGAGATAAGATTAGATAGATCAGATTGGATAGATAAGATTAGATAGATTAGATTAGATAGATCAGATTGGATAGGTAAAATTAGATAGATAAGATTAGATAAATCAGCTTGGATAGGTAAGATTAGATAGATAAGATTAGATAGATAAGAGTAGATTTAAAAAAAAAGATTAGATAGATAAGATTAGATAGCTAAGATTAGATAGATAAGATTACATAGATAAGATTGGATAGATAAGATTAGATAGATAACATTAGATATGATTAGATAGATAAGATTAGATAGATATGATTAGATAGATAAGATTAGGTAAGATTGGAAAGATAAGATTGGATAGATACGATTGGATAGGTAAGATTAGATAAAATTAGATAGATAAGGTTGGATAGAAAAGATTAGATAGATAAGACTAGATAGATAAGATTAGAAAGATAAGACTAGATAGATAAGATTAGATAAGATTAGATAGGATTAGATAGGATTAGATAAGATTAGATAAGATTAGATAAGATTAGATAAGATTAGATAAGATTAGATAAATAAGATTAGAGAGATAAGATTAGATAGATAGATCAGATTGGATAGGTAAGATTAGATAGATAAAATTAGATAGATAAGATTAGATAGATAAGATTAGATAGATAATATTAGATAGATCAGATTGGATAGATCAGATTGGATAGGTAAGATTAGATAGATAAGATTAGATAGATAAGATTAGATAGATAAGATTAGATAGATATGATTAGATACAATTAGATAAGATCAAATAGATAAGATTGGATAGATAAGATTAGATACATAAGATTAGGTAGATAAGATTGGAGAGATAAGATTTGATAGATGAGATTAGATAGATAAGATTAGATAGATAAGATTAGATAGATGAGATTAGATAGATAAGATTAGATAGATAAGATTAGATAGATTAGATTAGATAGATAAGATTAGATCGATAAGGTTAGATCGATAAGATTAGATGAATAAGATTAGATCGATAAGATTAGATAAGATTAGATAGAAAATATTAGATAGAAAAGATTAGATAGAAAAGATAGATAGATTAGATTAGAAAGATAAGATTAGATAAGATTAGATAGAAAAGATGGATACCTATCTAAATTTCTATACAGATGTAGGCATATCTACAGATCCCACAGCGCCCCAGTGCCGCCAAGCAACAGGCCCCTGGATTCACCCGCAATGCCCGTTCCACCTCTTGGCTGTTCCCAGTGGCCACCGCTCGGTGCAGCATCACGCCATGGCTGGGAAAATCATCTAAAAATGGGAGAGTTCTGAACCCCAAAGTATGAATTTGCCCTGGTAAAGTGTGTATTTCCCAGGTAACTGGTGGCATCAAATCAACAAGAACTAATAAGGATATTTGTATATGTATAAATATATATATAGATATATATATATTAATATATACGTACAATATTTTGCTTTATCTAATTATGTATTCATCTAATGCTGTATTTGCCGGGATAATTTAATTTAATGGGACATATTTCACGATCCGAAATGGAGGAAATCTACTCCCCGGATGGCCACTTCATGTAATGGGATCAATGGGAAAGTGGGGTTTTAGATTGTAAGCCAGGACATGTTTGGGTACTCTACTTTCCAAATGCATGTTGGTATAAGAATGAAGCTATCTTTCAATCAGCGAAGAGTGTAGAAGTTACGACTCTGCTGAGATCAACGGATCTTGAGCCGCGAGTCAGCGCTGAGAGGATATCCAGGACTGCTTGGGCCAGGGCAGGTGGCTAGAGATCAAGACATGTCAGGGCCTTGCCTGATACTTCCGCCAGTTCTGAAGTTTGGAATTGTCTGTATAACATCTCCAGATTCCAGACTGGCTATGATTAAAGCTGAGACCTCAAATGTTCGCCTTCAAAGTTCTTCCAGCATTGCATCTCACCTCAGTTTGACACATGGTTGAACATTGGGAAACAAAACATCCGGCGTTCTATCTTGAAGGAATCTCGAGAAGCTTCGTTTTGCACATAATCTTGTTACCAAATACCTAGAAGCACTGCACGTTGCTTCACCCTCAATCGTCGTTCGCTGGCATGTACTGTCTGTCTGCCTGCCTGTATGTCTGTTTGCCTGCCTGTCTGTTTGTCTGTTTGTGTCCGTCTGTGTGTGTCTGTCTGTCTGTATGTCTGTCTGTCTGTCTGTCTGTCTGTCTGTCTGTCTGTATGCATGCATGCATGCATGTATATATAATATGTTATATAATACAACATGTTATATAATATAAAATGTTTTATAATATAACATGTTACATATAACATGTTATATAATATAATATATTATATAATATAATATGTTATAATGTAACATGTTATATAATATAACATGTTATATAAAATAATGTTATATAGTATAATATGTTTTATAATATAATATGTTCTAGAATTTAACATGTTATATAATATAATATGTTGTACAGTATAATATGTTATACAATATAGTAATATGTTATAAAATATAATCTGTTATATAATACATGATATGTTTTATAATATAATATAATATAATATAAAATTAGATGTTATATGATATAATATGATATAATATGATATTGTATTATATTGTATTATATTGTATTATATTGTATTATACGGTATTATATTGTATTATATTGTATTATATTGTATTATATTGTATTATGCATATATGTGTGATCTAAATATACGTATGTATATCTGTACCTGTATATATATACATACAAGTGGAAGGGTTAAGTCATAGCATTTCGTTTTAAGTCATTGCAGGAGGTTTGTTTTCGCATGGAAACGCTGCGAACGTTTTAAGTCATAGCAGCTCCGTTTAAGTCATAGCATTTTTATGGTTTCACCATGGAAACGCGTACGGAATGCAATGGGTTTTAGGATCCTTGTTGTTCTGTTTAGCATGGCCTGACGGTGAAAGGTATATGTCCAGGGCATGTTTTGCACATATGTTTTGTGTACAAGTTACAATGGAAACGCGCGTTGACGATGGATATGTTGGGTACAGTTCATAAGTGAAAACCCAATGTCACAGACATGATTTGAAGATGTCTAGGAACGGCAATTGCGATGCCAAACACCATGGAAACGCGAGCGCAGGAACCATGGTCAGATTACAGTTGGTTTTTCACGGACAGGGCAAGCAAAAGCAATCAACAAAACATACTAAAAAAAGACCAAACAAAGGCTGGTCACGAACGAGATCAGAACGAGGTCCGAACGAGGTACCAAACGAGGTCAAAAACTACCCGGGACAGACCCTTACCCAAATCCTGGAGCTGGAAGATTTTCGGCTTCAGCTAACAGTTGCAGTGGAATACGCTCATCCAAAAACGAAAAAAACACATACAGAACTAAGCAAAGAGCGCGTGGAATACGCTCATCCAAAAACGAAAAAAACAAATACAGAAGTAACCCAAATGGTGATAAAATGATACCATGAAATATATCAGTTTACATAGTGTATACTACCCTTTCATGTTTGAATCCTGGCCAATGCTGATAGACAAAGAACCTCGAAAAAAAAGAGCACCGCATGGCACACACTCATCCAAGAGCAAAGACAACATACATGACTGACCCAAAATGTTTAAACGTGATACACCAGAATACATCACTTTACATACTATTTCATGCTATTCTATCATATTTGAACCTTACCAATCCTCACAAACATATATGTTGCGAAAACAAAGCAACGCATGGCAGACACACATCTAAGCATAGAAACAACATACATAGCTTATCCAATATTTTATACTATGATGCTCCCCAATATGCCTTTCCGCAAGGCAGACGCTCATCCGCTACGACTTAACACACGATGCAAGGACTTAACCCTAGTACCTAGTATGTATATTGTACATATACTATATAGTTTTACACTATATATATAATTATATATATATGTAATGTGTATATATATATATACATACATGTATGTATGTATACTATATACAAGTGTGTAGATATTCATCGCCCTATTCAGCAGTTTAAAGCCCACTCGTTGTTGGTGAAACCGCCGTTTATTGCTACTAAATCTGAGGCATCGACCCTTCTTGGCCTCGGCCAACAAGTCATTTTTCAGTGAATTACCAAGAGAACCTTAATTTTGATCAGACTTTGTTCCTAAAATCGGGGTACCCCAAATCATCCAAGTCATGGTTAGTACTGAAAGTCATGGTGACTTTGGGATCCCCCATGACTTAAGAAACCACCATTTAATGGAAGGTTGAGAATTTTGATCCATACCGACATTGCTGCAGTGTACAATAAATCAAATGCCCCTCCAGCCTACCAAGCCTCAAGAAGTTCTGGAAAAAAGTGCCTACTTGACATCAGGACCATAAAAGGCGCTGTCGGCCCCCGACCAGCTGGCATGAGATCCCCGACCAAAATTCAAGGATGCACCACAAAACTGGCAGAAGCGGAAGTCAGACTTTGCCCTGCAGTGGATCTGTGGTGGGATGGCCGGCTCAGAGAACCTCATCAACATCGTGTCACTGATCACGTAGCATACTCCCTAGTGATGGGTTTTCCCCATTAAAATGGCCCTTGGAGGGTATACATCCATCATTCATCCCAATCTTGGATGGTTAAGCCACTATTTTGATGATCAAACTCCCATCGTTCATGGTGAAATCCAGAGCAGGCAGTTGGGGGATGGTGTTATCTTTAACTGGTCACCACCTTTCGCATCCAAGACACTCCCCACCGCAAAAGGGACAGAATCGTGCTCGCGGTTCCTGGCTCAATGAAAAAATCAGTACAGATACATACATGCATGCATGGATGGATGTGTGTATGTGCGTGTACGCGTGTATGTGTGTATATGCATGTATATATGCGTGTATGTGTGTATGCGTGTATTCGTTTACGCGTGTATGCGTGTATACATGTATGCGTGTATGCGTGTATGCGTGTAAGTGTGTATGTGTGTATGCGTGTATGTGTGTATGCGTTTATGCGTGTATGCGTGTACGCGTGTATGCGTGTATGCGTTTATGCGTGTATGCGAGTATGTGTGTATGCGTGTATGCGTGTATGCTTGTATGCGTGTACGCGAGTATGCGTGTATGCGTGTATGCGTGTATGTGTGTGTATGCGTGTATGCGTGTATGCGTGTACGCGTGTATGCGTGTATGATCGTGTATGCATGTATGCCTGTATGTGTGTATGCGTGTATGCGTGTATGTTTGTATGATACGTGTACGCGTGTATGCGTGTATGCGTGTATGCGTGTATGTGTGTATGCGTGTGTGTGCGTTTATACGTGTATGCTTGTATGTGTGTATGCGTGTATGCGTGTATGCGTGTATGTGTGTATGCGTGTATGCGTGTATGCGTGTATGCGTGTATACGTGTATGCGTGTATGCGTGTAAGCGTGTATACGTGTATGTCTGCAGTTGTGTCTGCGTGTACGCCTGTATGCGTGTACACATGTATGCGTGTATGCGTGTATGCGTTTATGCATGTATGCGTGTATGTGTGTATGCGTGTATGCATGTATGCGTGTATGCGTGTACGCGTGTATGAGTGTATGCATGTATGCGTGTATGCGTGTATGCGTGTATGTGTGTGTATGTGTGTATGCGTGTATGTGTGTATGCGTGTATGCGTGTATGTGTGGACGCCTGTATGCGTGTATGCGTGTATTCGTTTACGCGTGTATGCGTGTATACATGTATGCGTGTATGCGTGTATGCGTGTAAGCGTGTATGTGTGTATGCGTGTATGTGTGTATGCGTTTATGCGTGTATGCGTTTATGCATGTATGTGACATGTGTATGTGTGTATGTGTGTATGTGTGTATGCGTGTATGCATGTATGCGTGTCTGCGTGTACGCGTGTATGCGTGTGTGTGTGTGTGCGTGTATGCATGTATGCGTTTATGCGTTTATTGGTGTATGTGTGTATGCGTGTATGTGTGTATGCGTGTACGCGTGTATGCGTGTATGCGTGTATTCGTGTATGCGTGTAAGCGTGTATGCGTGTATGCGCGTATGCGTGTATGTGTGTATGTGTGTATGCGTGTATGCGCGTATGCGTTTTTGCGTGTATGCGTGTATGCGTGTATGCGTGTAAGCGTGTATGCGTGTATGCGTGTATGTGTGTATGCGTGTATGCGTGAGCGTGTATACGTGTAGGCGTGAATGCATGGATGCGGGTATGGGTGTATGTGTGTCTGTGTGTCTGTGTCTATGTCTGTATTTCTGTCTGTCTGTCTGTCTGTCCGTCCGTCCGTCCGTCTGTCTGTCTGTCAGACGTACGTATGTATGTATGTATGTATGTATGGGCAAATTATAATATATAATCCATCAACCTGAAAGAAGGCTATTGGGATAATTTCCCTTACTAACCATGATCCCAGTGATGTCTCAATGCGGTCACTATTTTCAAGGGTGGTTTCTTAAGTCATGGACATCCCCAAGCCACCAAAATGGTTTCCATACTAAATGGCCATCCATTGCAACGATGCTCCGGACTGGGCAAGTCTGAACAGCTTCCAAGCCCTGCCTGATTTTGGTCGCTTGGTCCACGCCTCAGTTTTTTCAACTGCAAGAACTTGGGTTTTGCTCCAAGCTATGACGAATGTTGGTTCAATGCAAATAATCCAAACTAGGGCAAAATTCTGGTTCAAAGTATTCCACAAAGTGCAGACAACTATTTAATAAGTAACTAAAAATTTTATCAACCTACCTCTGTCCGATGCAGTGTGACCACAGCTAAGCCACCCCTTTGCATTGCCTTTCCCACCGGACCTTGGCACGGTGAGTGGCTAAAGAACCAGCAGCGCAAATTCCTTGTACTGGTTGGTGAGTAATGTGGGCAAAACAAATAATAAACCACCCATTTGGGAATGGTTTATATCACCTATTTATGGATTTTAAATGTTTCAATCATCCAGTGGCGATGATTACCTGCTGCAAATGGGACGATAATGCCAGATCGACGCCTGTTCCATGCACAATGCATTCAATGCGGCATTTCCATGAGCACTGCTGCACCTGTCTGTCAATACAAGTGTATACGACAAGGAACGACCACTACACAAATCTTTGCTGCTGACATGATGTGTTGCTCTACAACAACCATCATTTTACCCCCGATTTCTGGGTTTGCGTCCCCATCGTGGCTGCACACCCCAGCATCCAATTGTTTTGTTCCTCAATTAATATAGCTGTTTGGGTTTTGTCCAAGAATGGGGTGCCCCAAAATCCAATTAAACCGTCGAAGTTCCCAAGAATCTTGGTGTACCATCAAAACCATTCAAAACCCATAACCCATAAATCAATCCCAATAAAAACCAAAAAAAACTATCTATATATCATGATAAGTTTCCCCGCTCGAATTAGGGTTAATGAAGTGTGTTTTCATGAATTTTCCTTTTTCAGTGACGATTCGCTTTCCTCATGGAAATTGCCCAACCGATCTGGGCCCGGCCACTTGCCACCTTTCTTTCCTGCAGTTCTTTGTGCCGCAGAGCGCTGCAATTTTACCAGAAACCCTCATATTTCATTGGAAAAAACATGGTTTCCCGTTGGGTTTTCTCTTAACCAATCCACTGATGAAAAGATTCACGTGAATATACAGAATATACATATAGAAATACTTAACAAACATGTGTTCCTTCCATTTCATTGCGTCTCGTTTCATTTCATTTCATTCGTTTCGTTCATGTCATTCATGTCATTCATTCCATGCATTCTATTTATCCCATCCATTCCATTCACTCAATTCATTCCATTCACTTCATTCATTTCATTCATGTCATTCTGTTCATTCATCTTTCATTTCATTCACTTCATTCATGTCATTCATTTCATTTCACTTCATGTCATTTCATTCCTTTCATTTCACTTCATTTCATATCATTCCTTCATTCACTCCTTTCATTTTTGTCATTCCTTTCTTCTTTCAGTCATTCATTTCATGTCATTTCAAATCAATTCAGTTCAATTCATGTCATTTCATGTCATGTAATTTATTTCATTCACTCACTTATTCATTCACTCAATCACTCATTCTTTCATTCATTCATCCCTCCATTCATTCCATTCATTCGATTCATTCCATCCATTCATCCATCCATCCATCCATCCATCCATCCGTCCATTCATTCATTAATTTCATGTTTTATTCATTCATTCATCAATTCTCTGATTCATTGATTCATTGGTCATTGATTCATTGATTCATCGACACACTATTTCACTATTTCACTCGTTCATTGGTTCATTGCTTCGTTGCTTCATTGATTCAATGGTTTGTTGATTCACCGATTCAGTGATTCATCGATTTTCATTGGTTCATATTCGTTCATTCGTTCAGTTGTGCATGGGTTCTTTCATCTACCCTCTGGTAAACTAACATAGCTATTGAAAATGGCCCATTTATAGTGGATTTACCCATTAAAAATAGTGATTTTCCATAGCTATGTTAGTTTACCAGAGGGTAGTCGTAATGATCATTGTAGTGATGATGAAAGAGTCGTCTTGCTGCGCCTCCTTCACCCGAATGGCCTTGTGGGCCGGGCATGCTTCCTCCACCAGCATGGAGACCAATGTAGCCCCTGGGAAAGACCAATGGGTGAACGTCCAGAAGGCAAAATCCGGTATGTACATATACTTATATTTATTTATTTGTTTAATTATTTATTTATATATTTAATTTGTTGATTTATTTATCTATTTATCTATTTGTATGTTCACTTATCTACCTATGTATATACATATAATATATATATATACATAATATTTACAGTTGATTGATTCATTTATTTATTTATAGAGAGAGAGAGAGGTACATGTATCGTGGGTTTTAATAGGAAACTCATCTATTACATTGTAATTTTGACCGGAGTCAATTAAGCGGACTTTTTTGGAGGAAAATATCCTTGAAGATTTCTACTTGCAGGTTAAGAAGTGGGTTTGTTAACAAACCCAGTTTATGGCAGTTGAAGAACTGGAAAAACCATGAGAAACCATGGGATGGTTGACCGGGTATCCTATGTTTGCATCCATGTCTGACATGCAAAAAGGGCGTCAGGAGTCTGATCAAGTAGCTTCCCAAACATGCTGGAGAAGAGCCAAAGAAGATTAATTACATAGGGTACCCAACAATTTGGTGGTTAATAATAATTTCCCCCATTCAAGTTGGAAGTATCAGAATGCAGAATCTCTCTATGTGACGAAAAAAAATGGTCTTCTCCCTCCCCTCGAGGCTATGACTCAGTGAAGGCTGGTGCCTGACCAATGCTAAAACGAGTGGAAAGAGCTTTTGGAAAATTGGGCGAATTGCAACAACCTCAGTGCCTTAGTGCCTCCATTTGGACCCAGTTGGAGTAGGGAATGCCGAATAATAATCCATCCAAGTTCCGGTTTGTTCCTAGATGTACTGTATACTTTCACTTGGGATGATTTCCGAGGACCCCCAAATGGTTGATAATTTTGAGTAGATTCTTCTTGTGAAACGCACATTTGTGAGAAGGTGTGCTCACTGGGCCTGTGCAGGGAACTGCTGCTTCTTCTGCTGTCGAGCAGCAATATCAATAAGGCTGCCCTGACTTCTCCTCCGCCAGACATGAATGAGCAAAGTTTCCACAACCTATTTTGGCTTGTCTCAAACTGGAGCATTTGTCCCCGGGTTACGGCCATTGAAAAGTGCTAAAAATGATACACCATGGGATGGAACAGGAGTATCCCCCAGATCTGAGTATTGAAAAAATACAGAACCAGTATGAACCAGTGACACGAGCTGCTCACGAGCTGGCACCTACCCCCTCTTCGTCTGGGAGGAGCATCCTGCCCTGCAACAGCAGCCCTGGGACATCGGTGCAATCAACTTCGATGCAGCCACTTCGCAGAAGTGTCTCTAAGGCTTCTAAGGCTTGCACTCTCGTAGGAAAAGGGGCCGGGTAGAAGGATCTCCACCTCAAGTCAGAACCGCTCCCACCATGATCTGTGCCATTTTGTGTGGTGAATTTCCCTACCTTTGTTCTATTTCAGTCAGTCGAAATATCCAACCTTGGGTGGTTGAAGAATTGTTCGAGAATGACCTGCTGAAATGAATCTCCTTCCCCCTTTCATTTTGGGTCCGCGCGATTCACCCGAGCAGTGGAATAATGCGCATAGTTCGCCTGTTCCGAAATTGTCCGTGAGTGGATGGAATAGAACAAACCAACTATCAGACTGCGTCAGAAGCATCTCATGGGTTGCTGGTTTCACCTGAACAATTGTCAATTGGGAGCCTCATCTGCCCTCTGGGAATTTAAGATAGTTATGGAACATTACCCATTTTCTTCAATGGTTTATATACTTGTTAAAGAGGGTGACTTTCCACAGCCTGTTAAACTACCGGAGGGAAACCAGTTGATGTCTTGCTCTGCTTTTCACTGGCCTCGAAGCCTTGTAAGGCCGCTGGAGCTACAGACCTAAAAGTTGTGATCAGAGCTTTTTTTTTAAGTGGGCCAAGGGCAAGACGCATTTTTAAGAGGAAAATGGCAAGTGACAACTATTTCCAGAATGCGTCCTTCACAAGTTTGGAATGATCAACCTTGTTTGCTGCAAGGAACCCCAAAAACAACTCCACAGTTATGCTTACCTGTGCCTTGCTGGACCCAGTAGTGTTGAGGTTGCGACACTACCTTGTCAGAGTTGAACCTGTTCCAATTGCGGTGCAAGGAAGTTGAACTGAATCAAATTGGGGTTTCAACTCACCAAAATCGGGGAATCAACCAACAGAACTGGAGATTCAATATATATATATAATGTAACTAACAAACAAACTTGATATCATATTTGGGTGTGTTTCAAACTTCCCCAAAATTTTGCACTTTCTGAATGGACACTTTCGACAAATGGGGATTGTGGGCACCCAATTTCAAGATGAAGCTCCGACACCAGCAATTCACCAAGGCTTCAAGGCAACCTTTCCCTGTAAACACCATGCCTTCCCATCTTTCGTCCCTCATAGGCAAGCTTCAACGTCCAGGCCTCATATTCATTGAATTCAAAATCAGCACAATCTATGGGATGGTAGGATGGAAAATGTAAATCCAGGCAATGATAGATTTGCGATGATATCGACTAGAAATCCAGGCTGCACTCTTGCAGGATGCCTGGAAGTGTGAAACTGACAATACCGGTGATGCCAACGATTTCAGTGCAATGATCTGTGAAACGGGTCTGAGTTCAGAAGTGTAGCTCTCATCTGCACCCAAAAAAAACACCAAAGTTGGGTCCGCGCAAAGTTCGGATCCGTGAAATTGATGAAACAGTAGCCGCGGTTCCTCGGATTCAACGGCTACGCTACAACCGTTCCGCTTCAGCGCCTGCGGCACTGCTGTTCCAGGCCCTGGACGCATTGGTTTCAGGATCAATCGGCAAGTACAGGAAGTCAAAGGTTCCCAAAAAGCCAGACCTCAAAGACGGGTGAGGACCCCTTGTGAGGACCCCTTGGGGTGGGAACCTATCTGGCGACAACAAACTTGTTGCCTGAGGGGATTGAAAACGTTGCTTTCCATGGCAAAGCTGTGAATCCAACGTGTTGAGCTCTTCAAGAAGCATCTGTTGGCTGTACCTGCCAAGCGATGCTTACAGACGAATATTTACAAATAGATTCATACATCCATGAGATTCGTGTTCTGATATAACGGCAGAAAGCTGGAACAATCTGTTTTCTTTTGACCAAGTTCTATCAGGGTATCATTTGATTGGTTGCAGCGCACTTGTTCGGCAGGTTGCGCAGCATGACGGTGGTCTTGTTTCGCCAGTCGGAGGGTACATCTTGTTCACCTGGTTTGAGAACAGCTGCATTCGGCTGTGCAGAGTCTCGGAGTACATGGAAAAACCTTTGACCAATCCAATTGAGGCCAAATCTCGTTGGCATGCTGATGTGTCCAAGAAAATCCCGCCTTGTGCTTCTTCGGACTTTGGAGCCTGGCACAATCCACAACTGTCGCAGTCATGTTGCTTTGTCAGGTTCCCATTTTCGGAACATCGATTCAATGGCACCCAACCTGTGCAGCTGGAAGCGCTGGCGCTTCCGTAGGTGATGAGATCTGCAGGGTCGGTGGCATTTCCACCATGGTTTCCCATGGTTTCCCATGGCCATCGTCTGAGATCCCCCAGGGCAGTTTTTCAACAGCTGATGAATCCACAGCGGAGATCGCCTGTGGCCACTGCTCCTGGTGCTGCTTGGGCCCCGGAGGAAGTGATGATGGATGAGACACACCTGGCCCATTGTGAAAAATGCCATAGGAAAAAAGACCAACTTCGAAAGCAGGCACGTTTTACTAGGATAATGTGTTGCTTTTGCACTTGTATCGGTTCTCATTCCTTCCTTCAAGGAGGCTTGAAAACACTTCATGCATATTCTATTGCTTCAGCAAAAATGCATTTGATGCACCTCATTCTGTCCACGTTTTGCATGAGTTGCTTCCCAAAAGCCATAGCAACTCAAATCAAATGAGTGTAGTTGACCGAGGTTGACCGGATTGGCATTGCTCTAAAAACAAAATGGGACAACTGCCCGCCTGGAAATGGGTACCTTAGCAGCTCCCAGCGATGGCCAAGACAGTGCATCTGTTCACTGAGTCAAAGGGTGCAACTCTCCATAATTATATATATATATATATGTTTTCGTTTCACAACAGCCATGAGCCATTGGGCATCCCTCATCTTTCCCAACTCGCTTCAGTGCCCAGTCCGGCAACAAGTCCGGCCACATGTCATTTCCCAGTGATCCCCGACGGAGGCTGCCAAACCTGCGGTGGTACCAATCCCTGGCAGCGGCATGACATCCGATCATGGCTTGGGGTGCCAGTGATTACTTGGGAAACCCCCAAATACCCATTGATGATATCCCGTCATATTGCCATTCATTGTTGATTACTATATCCCTATCTGTGTAAATTATGACAATTCACCAACATGAAATCAAGTCATTTGGGATGATTCCCCCAAACTGTAATTTATTAAGTGTCGTCGCAGCAATGTCCTTGAATTTCACCCTGACATCCATGTGTATATATGTGCAGACATTTATCTATCCATCTATCGATCGATCAATCTATTTATCTATCAATCTATCAATCTACAAATAGATATAGTCTATATCATATATATATATTAATATATATATATATTATAGATAAATAATATATTCAGATCATGGCCAGCCATCAGTTCACCGGTCCCTCACCGGTCCCTCACGGGTCCCCTTTGTCCCAAGTCGCCTCAAGGCCTGACGGGGGTAGCTGATATTTAGGGGCATCTAACCAGCCAAATTTGGTAGTGTTATATCCATCAATAATTGTAATGCAATCGGAATATAGTGGGGATATGGTGAGAATATGTCCAACAACATGACATAACATGATATTTAGGGTTAAATAACTATCGAAAATCGATATTTGACCAATGAGTAATGGATTGGGCTACATGGAGTACCCAAAATTTCTGGCCCTTTTCTTTTCGGGAAAATGATGATTAACCGATGAACCGATGGAATGCGGTGCCCAAGATGGTCCAGTGGCTGCCTCAAGGTTGAATCCGGCGACACCTTAAAAGAAACGTGTTTGGTTTAAGACATTGACTGGAAGTCACCAAAATCTGTGAGTTGATGGATCTTAGGAATCTTAGGATAACCCATTTGGGTGGTGTTGGTTGGATCGGGGTCGTCGGAATCTAGATGGATCGGATCGGGACGGTATAGATCGCAACCTTGGGGACTACCCCGGCCGTCCCAACCATCCCGACCATCCTATAAAGAAATAAAGAAACCCCAAATAAAGCCTAAACCCTAAAGAAACCCTTAAAAAAACCCTAAAGAAACCCTAAAGAAAGCCCAAAGAAATCCTTAAAGAAACCCTAAAAGAAACCCTAAAGAAGCCCTCATCCCGACCATCCTTACCATCCTTACCATCCCTTTGACGCTGATTCTGCGACGCTGATTCGCACCTTTCGATGTTGATTCCGGACGCTGCTCTGTGGCGCTGATTCGACTCGATAGTTTCTGACACGGAATTTACTCCCCATCCAGGGGGTTCTTAAGGATCCCAAGTCACCATAGGTTTCAATACTAAAATGGTCTCCCAGATGATTTGGGGGTACCCCCCATTTTAGGAATCCCCCATTCTTATTTCTTCATCTTCGGTGCTGACTTTGCATCTTGTGCAGAGTCTATCGATAGGCCCCAATTCGAAGAAATTCATGTTTTGGACACCTCAAAACTTTCGGTACACGCGTCTGGTCCTTTTCCAGGAGGGTTTTTTCCGGGTCACAATTAAAGTCCCACTAGATTCCCCATGAAATTCCCATGAGCCCACCTGCCAAATGTGGCATGGCCATCGGCATGGGTCCCCAGGTCGGCCAGTCCAGCTCAGTCACCTACACCGGACACCAAAAAACATGGTGATTTTACCATGAAACATGGGGAAATTAACCATGAAAAGTAGGGAGTTTAGTGATTTACCATCAAACATTGCTATTTTACCGTGAAAAGTTAGCATTTAGCCATCAAAACCATCGAAAAAATGTGACTTATAGACCCTGAGAATAATCTTCCAACCCAACTCATGACATTGTCTATTTTAGTTGGATGCGGGTGCCATCAAATATGCTCAAATTCCAGGTTTTAGTGATTGGTTGCACTGAGCTGCTTGATTTTCACTGTGTTTTTTTTGCTCATGGAGACCGGTCGCCAACAGTACACGACACTGTTTGTTTAGACCGAGCCTGGTAGGCCTAGACCTTCAGAAAAGACAGCCCTGGTACTGGAATTGAGATATCTATTTGATATCTATCCATATGTTTGGCATGGCTTTCCAGCTTCAATCTTCAATCTCGTATCATTGCAAATGTGCAGTGATCGCAAATGGGTGCAAACTCTTGTTGTGTTTTCATAGTGTCTTTTTTGTTTTTCAGTCTGGGGTACTTTCCTTGCTATTTGCTGCCTTTTGGAGCCAAAAGATCAAATTTGCTGCATTTGGGAGCGAAATCTCTCATTTGCAAGCTATTTGCAGCATTTTGGAGCAAACATTGTTTATTTTGGACGCTATTTGCAGCATTTTGGACCTTGGATCTCTTGTTGGCAGAAAATTCGCAGGCTTGGTTCAGAGTCTATTAAGGGTTGGTTTAGAATGTATGTGGGGTTGGTTTCAGGCCTATTGTAGGTTGGTTTAGACTTGGGGTTGTTTTAGGGATTTTTGAGGGTTGCTTAGGAGTTTAGGGTTTATTTAGGGTTGGTTTAGATTCAAACAGGTTTGGTTTAGGGTCTATTTGCGGTTGGTTTAATGTTTATTTGGGGCTGGTTTGAGGTCTATTTAAAAATGTGTTGAGGGTGAGATTAAGGTTTATTTGGGGGTACAAGGTGCGCATATAAATAACTAGAAACATGTATATAGATATCTCTGTACATACCATTGCATTCCATTCCATTACATTGCATTACATTACATTGCATGCATACATACATACATACATATGATGACATATATGTGTATTTATATATATATATATTATTATAGAGAGAGAGAGTAGTGTATTTACAAGTGTGCAGTGCAAGTGTGGATTTACCAAAAAAAAAACAGGGGAGTGGGGGAGGGCGCAGCGCCTCCCCCCTAATACCCACACGTAATGCTGCGGGTTGAATATGGTACGCAGTGTGTGAATAATGCACAACATGCACCTTTGCAAACATGTAGAACGTAGGTTGAGGCACAACCGTGTTGGGTGTAAATAGTTTCATTGGATGTTATCAAAACGTTCCTATCAATTGTATATTGGATCATGATCTTGTTTTCTTTTTTTAAGTCCATTTATCTTTTCTAACTGATGTCTCACTCGTTGTCTGTACGATAGTTGCAGCATGCAGCATACTGTAAAGAAACCACAAAAGCCAAAAGAACAAGAAGCCAAAAACAACAAAAGCCAAAAAAGCCAAGAAGCTAAGCAGCTGATAAAACAAAAGCCAGAAAAAAACACAAAAGCCAAGAAGCCAGACTGGAAAACAAAAAACTCGATGCAAACTTCGTATAATTCGCCAATCAGACATATGTTTTGGGATAATACCATATAATACCCATCACAATGTTTTCAGGATGTCCCCAGGTCCCCGCCTGTCGGTTGAGAGGTGAAGTACCGCTCAAGTCCCCGGTCTCCTTGGATGTCTCGGGATGGCAAACAGGAAACTCCCCGGGTACTCCAAACCCCAAAGCCGCCTGCCGAACAGCCTCTTCCACCTGGCAGGGGCATGGCTTCGAAGAAAAGTCAAAACCATCAAAACCTCATAAATTCAACCAGAAATTTGCTGGATGAACTCATTCGAACCCCAAAAGCATCCAACTTCGACGATGAAACAACTTTGACCCATCCATATTAGTCCCCGTTGGCATTTGGCAGCTGGTCACTCCCAAAAATTCACGACCTCATCAAGCTCCTGACGGATCAGGCAATGGGCGATGGCCGTGAATAGTTGATGGTTACTGATGGCTAATGATGGTGAAATTTGGCGTTTCACCCATGGCTGGCTGCCTTTTGTCTATCGCTCAGCGCGCATCTCGCGCAGTTTGCGTACAGCGAGATGCAAACTGCCACTAACAGGCCTCCATTTGGAGGGATTAAGTTAAGCAAAAAAGGTGTGTCGTGCCCCTGGGCGGGAACTGATGGACCTCCCAAATTGCTGTGTACCAAAAGCAAATTCTGAAAAATGTACAGCAGATTCACAGCAAATTTCTAAATCACAGCTCACCCGACACTGGCCGCACACCGTGAGCATGTCATCTCAAATGGACAGAAAGCCAGCCTTCCAGGGCAATTCATCCCGTTCGTTGATCATCAATTGGGATGAATTCAGAACTGGATAAAAATTTGGAGGAATCCCACTGATTGAGCATTTGTTCCAGTCAGTGATTGTGTAATAAACGCTTTTGGGACAAAGAGGAAACATCTTTTTATACAATTTTATACACTTATCAACATGTCATACTAATTAGATCTAATTAGACTAATCAATTGATCCAGATTGAACTTCCCACGGGATTTTCTGTATCCCATTTGGGTCCAGGATTCAACTTCCCCCTTTTCAGGTCCCAATGTTGCGTCCCACAACTTGCTGATACGAGCTGCGCTATTTCCTGAGGATGGTCAACCAATGGTTAAACTTCATGGATTCTTGGACTCTTGATAGTGGAAAAAAACAATCAATGGTGCTTCAACTGGTTAAACTTCATTGCTGGTTCAACCATCTTATCATCAATGGTGGTTGAACCCCCTGATGTTTTGATGGTTTTTCAACCACCATTGATGGTTCAACGATACCGTAGCCGCCGCCTTCGGTAGCACCAGCTCCATAGGCACTCGAGTGCATTCGGTGTCATCCAGGCCGTGCCCAGAAACGTATTCCTTTGGACCATCCCCCAGGGCCCCAAAATAGGGCACACCGGGCGCTGTTTGATCATCGTTTTCCCTATGAAGCGATGAATTGGGAGATATATCTCCATTTTCAGATATACCCAGATATCAGATTGTTGCATATATATATATATAATTTAACTACATAAATATATATATATATATATCCACTTGCATCCCATTCTGTATCCAAGGACATCCCACGAATTGCAATCATATCCAATGATATCATCCCAATATTTTGCTCCTTTGGGCGTTGGCCACCTGGCGGCCGCAGCCAGCGCAGGCACACAAAACGTTGACCGCTGGCCTGCCGAGTCCCAGCCCAAGGTGACTATGGTTAAGATGCTGACGTTAAGATGGTTAGTATTGGGTTAGAAAGTTAGTCTAAGTTAGACATATTAAATCATAGCTTTACCCTCCGGTGCTCAAACGTGGCTAGCATGGTGCTTTGAACGGGAAATTCCAGGGTATCAATGGTGAATTGCCCATTGCCATGTTTGATTCCAGGGCAGATGGTACGTTGAAGATTCGGCCAAGAATTCGTGACTCCAAGTGGCAAATCAGTATATGTGAATGTCATGATAACGATGAAAAGGAAAATGCTTTTTCCTATCATGGTGAGATGATGATTCTGATGGTTACGATCAATTGAGGAATGATGGTTGGAATAGAATAGAATTGATGAATGATGCACTGTAGCTAAAAAGAACTGATTTACTGTAATATATATATATACATATATCCTATCCCCAATGTCAAAATGAATGAACTTATGTAATCCTCATGGTGGCTGCATCTAGCTTCCCCAGCATGGATCTCTGCCCCTTTGGAGCATCCAAAAGCCATCAATATCATTTGCGGCGAACCTCGGTGATGCCGGTCACTAAGGCATGGTAGCGGCGGCTGCTATCCTCTCCTGCAGCACTAAAGTCATGATGTTTGCAGTTTCTGTGGCAGCTGCTTGACGATAGACGCATGGCACACCCGATACGATTCTAGCAATCTCCAAAATAAGACTGATTCTATGTACTGATTTTGAAGCAATGCTACGGATATGACAGGCTGCTTAGGCCTAACTCCGGCCAATGCCACTGTCTTGTTGCGGAGTGAACTCAAAATGGGTCAACGACTTCCATCCCTGCAAGGTCTCCTAGATATGGTGCCAACACCTCGTCACCTGCTTTTATTGCCGTTGGACGCTCGAGTGCCAAGCTGCCCAAACTGTCCTCCAGCAATTGTTGGGCGATACCTTTCACCAAAAAAAACGGGCCTTCTGAACTGATGATAGTAGACTAAGAATGGTTAATATGATGGTTAATATGATGGTTAATATGATGGTTAATATGATGGTTAATTAAATCCATAAATCAACCATAAATCCCTGTTGTTGGTTGAATCACCTCTTTGTTGGTGGAATTCTAAGGGGAACCGGGAAAGCTGAGACAAACCGCCTTTGACAGTCCTGCAGAATCTGCTTGTAGAGGTTCACAAACCTCCCGCGTTGGAATTTCAATAGCACCCCAGGCTTCACATTTGGGTTTTTTTTTGACAAGGTTACTGTATCCCTGAATCCATCAGTTAATCATCATTATCCCTATTAAAATTGAAATTTGGAGGTATGCCCAATTTTAAACACACCTAATTCGATATACTTAAGTTGCAGATCAAGGTCTCTCCTCAAGTAAACCATGGTAAACCAATACTGACTGCTGGCAAGCAACTCATTTCGATCAAGACCACCACTAAGATCTTCATCATACTTCCTAGCTGCAGAAGCACCCACGTCTAGTGCTGGGTTTGGCAATGGTTTGCACTGAATAGTGTAAAAACTAATCTAAGGGAATCTTGGGACAACGGCTGCTATGCAGGTTTTCTATGCCTTCTTTTTACCTAAACTCTGACACCACGGTGAAGCAAGCTACATCAGCATGAGATTGTACCTTCTTGCCACAGTTTCCATGTATTTCCGTTATGCTATCTACATACTCAAGTTTCCCATCTACTGTTGTATTCTACATTTGCGTTTCTGTATCGTACCTAGTACTCCCTATTTATATATATATATATGTATGTATGTATGTATGAATGTATGTATGAATGAATGAATGGACCAACGAATGAATGAACAAGCGAATGAGCTTCGGAAACTATGCTTTGGCAACCATGTTTCGGCAACTATGTTTCGGCAACTATGTTTCGGAAACTATGTTTCGGCAACTATGTTTCGGAAACTATGTTTCGGCAACTATGCTCCGGAAACTATGTTTCGGCAACTATGTTTCAGCAACTATGTTTCGGCAACTATGTTTCGGAAACAATGTTTCGGCAACTATGTTTCGCATCTATGTTTCGGAAACTATCCTTCGACAACTATGTTTCTGCAAGCAAGCAGAGTAAACTATGCTTCGGTCATGACCAAAAACTATTGGAAAAACAAGGCTGTAAACTGAGGACTACTATTGCATGCAGGGTTTTGGCGGGGTAGGTTTAAAAAATGATTTGGAATCGTGATCAGAACTCGTGGAAGGACCAGGCTGTGAATTGAGGTATGCTATTGCATGTAGGGCTTTGGGGGGAGGTTTAAGTAAACACTAACTTTGAATCGTGACAAGAACTCTTGGAAAGGCAAGGCCTGTGAATTGAGGAATGTTACATGCAAGAGGGCAAGGTTTAAACAATGACTTGGAATCGAACTGGATTGTGGTTGCTGAGCCGTGGTTGCTGAAGCGAAACCAGGGTTGGTTGCTGAGCCGTAGTTGCTGAGTTGTGGTTGATGAAGCGGAACCAGGGTTGGTTGCTGAGCCGTGGTTGCTGGGCCGTAATTGCTGAGACGGTTTTTAATCGAGGAAGGAACAACACAAACACACGCACACACACACACGCATACACCCACACACACGCACTGGAGCCTGAAGTAGTGAAATCGGAATTGCACCTGCATATCATATGGTACCTTCAGTTTGCCTAAACAGCCTAATACGAGCAGCTTGAGCAACTGGTGAACAAGAGCAGGTACGTGACTCCAGCGTCCCGGAGTCATATCAGTCATGAATGCAGCCCTCTTCGTTGGGCAATCAGCTGCAAACATGAGATTGCCCCCCTGCTATCTGCACATAGGAAAAATAAACCGCATGCTATAGCGGAGTACACACTTGCTCAGAAACATCTTATCGAATTACTGATGTGGAATGCATCGCACGTGCACAAACACTTCAATTAAACCTGACGGGAGAACATGGGCGACTAGGCGTGAGAAACAGTAACGAAGGATTCTTTCTACGTCCTTGCATGAAGCAACTGTTCCATCTGACGAAGTCAGCAGTAAATCAGATTGCGAAAGCCGTACAGGTACTGACATGAAACAAAAAGATTTGGGTATGGTTTGAAGCGATTTGAAAAAAGGAATTCGACATGGAGGTTCTAGGGTTGAGCCTCTTCCCATTCAAGAAAATTGGCAGGTACGTCGATCCACCATCCCGGATCGATATCACAGAATGTCATAGCCGTCTTCGTTGGCTGCAGAACTATGACATTCCCTGCAGCCCCCTGCATGAAAATTGAAAGAGTAAATTCAGAATGAATAGTCAAAACAAAGAAGTAGTGCAGCAATCAACGGATAGAAGTTTTACATCTATTCAGATGGTCCACGCACACACACTGGCTAATTTGCTCAGAACCGTCATTGCGAATTTTGTTGTGGAATGCATCTTACGTGCAAAGATACTCCAGTGCAAAACACTCCAATTACACCTGACAGGAATGGGTCGGTGAAGAGGCCCGACAAAGTACCAAGAAGCTACCATCGCCATAGCCAGTGCAGAAAATGATTGAATTGGAAGCTGGCCCTTCCTCTTTCAACTTGAAAGTTGAAAAGCCAAATTGCGAAAACCGTGCAGAAAAAAAGTGACCACAGGTTGTTTGAAAACGGCATGGTGGTTCTTGGGTTAGCCGCTGCCCATCACGAGAAAATAAAACTGGATGCAGGTACGCAGAGCTGATCAGTCTCTGTATCACCACGAACTGACAGTGTCTTCGTTGGGCAGTGTCTGTCAGTCGTGCACTGCCCCCCTTGCAAATCTGAAATGCGATAACATGAAATCAAGACCTAAAAGGGGAGCAGAATACCGGAAATCCAACAGGCTAGAAGTTTTACATCTCTTCAGATGGTTCACACACACACACACCATCTGTAAACATGGGGCCTTTGCTAGCCAGGGCTCGCCAACTGCAAGCCCACCGCAACATCATCCGGCAGTTTCACTCCCAGCTTTCGATGGAGGGCCAAGCAAAGCCCAAACAGCTCATCACGATCCAATTGACCGTTCCTCGGGGCTGAAAATAGAGGACTTCACGCGATTTCGCCACCACCCATGGGGATATCTGACCAATATGGTTGTTCAAAATTATGGTTCCCCGAAACGGCCCTTACGCCACGCTTTCACGACCGTTTCGCGCCCTTCGCGCCCCAGCAGAATCGGGACAGGGAATTATGATCATGTTTTCGTGCGCATATTTCGCAATAGAGTGGTATTCACACTTTTCGCGAAACCTTTCGCCGCGCTTTCGCGGCCTTTCGCAATTGAGGTAAAAACACACGTCTATATCTCCAGATGCCACTCGGATACTCTCGGATACTAAAAGTCTTGCATGGGTTTTAGAACGACTCCCCAATATATATATATGTGTGTATATATATATATATGTATGTATGTATGTATGTATGTATGTATGTATGTATGTATGTATGTATGTATGTATGTATGTATGTATGTATGTATGTATGTAATATATATATATGTATATATTTATATTTGAATATGTATATATATATGTATACATATATAATATGTATATATAGATATATATATATATATATAATCTGTATATATGTTTATATGTAATGTATATATATAATGTATATATATGTATATACACATCATTTATATATATGTATGTAAATATATAAATATACATATGTATATGTTTATATTTAAATATGTATATATTATATATGTAATGTATATATATAATATGTATATATATATGTATATATTTAATGTGTATATATATTATGTGTATATATTCACATAATATATATGTACATGTATATAAAAATCTATGTATGTATATATATATAATATGTATATATATTTAATATGTATATATATTTAATATGTATATATATTTAATATGTATATATATTTAATATGTATATATATAATATGTATATATATATGTATTTATATAATATGTATATATATAATATGTATTTATATAATATGTATATATAATATGTATATATAATATGTATATCTAATATGTATGTATAATATGTATATATAATATGTATTTATATATATGTAGACATATATACATAACATATGTATATAATGTAAATATTATGTATATGTATATTATGTATATATATATGTATATATATATATGTATATATATATGTATATTTTGTATGTATATATATATTGTATATATATATATATTGTATATATATATATTATGTGTATATACATATATATTTAATGTATAATATATATATATATATTATATATATTCCTCCAGGCCCATTATGTTCACTTCAGTTCATGTTCATAGTGCAGCAAGGCAAGTCACAAAAAGTGCTGCCTTGCCTTCTCCTCGAAAAATTCATGCGCTTGGTCGCCGTCCGAATCCACGAGCAGTGGAAGTGGAAGTCCAGGCCTGGCCGTGAACTATTCCCCCGCCGGTTTCCCCTCTCACCACATTTCACGGTGCAATAAATTGAACAATGGAAATTTTCAATACCTAGCAAAACGAATTCGTTGCTGTCCTAGTTTCAGGAGATAGCAAAATCAGCACCAATCTCTGTACCGAAGTCAGTGTCTTCCATTGACCGGCACCGATGAAGAAAATCCTCACTAGGCTCAGGCACCTCCGAAGCGATCTCTGTGCGACCAAAAGCTTCGATGAGGGCCGTGACGAGGCTACGACACAGAGCCGGCGCATATTCCTTTGATGCAGCTGTCTTCCAAACGCCGGTCGCTGTTTTGCCTTTGGCAGCAGCCGACGGGAGTTCGGTACGAATTCTGCCTCTGTGCAAATGCATGAGCATGTCAGGTCATGTCAGGTAAATTGAGCGTCAAAAGTGACGTTGGCTTATTGGTAGCCGACCCCATCAGCCCCTGTGCAAACCTGACAGTTTGAATTTGCGAAAAAACGGCTAATGCTCTCAAAATCTGGGTCCTCCATCTCGACGCGGCATCTGCTCGGCGAGGCTCTGCAGGATGCTCGAGAATGGCAAAACCTTCTGTCGCAATGAGCTCAATGATCGCAAGGAGCGAGAAGAAAAGGAGGTCGTTGCCAATACACAGTTGCAACAATTCGCGAATCGTAACACAGAGCAGGGACGTCGCGGCCCGCGGATCATCCGCACCTTGTCTGTTTGACAAAAACAGACAAGGTGCGGATGATCCGCGGGCCGCGACGTCCCTGCTCAATCTCATTGTCGGTCAAAGGGTGGCCACGCGCCTGCGACCATGACTCGCAGGGCGGGCCACCGACAAACGCAATCACATGTCTCCGTCTGATTGCGGAGAGCACCTTTTGGCGTCTCCCCAATCCTTGTTGACTACCACCTCGAGTGAGATGACGTGCAAGATGTGCTGGTTCTGCTCAGCCGCAAGCATACCCATATAAAATTGCAAGTCACCTCGTCTCCTTCTCCCTGAAAAAGCGTGTAGCACCACACGGTGCTTCCCAAACAATCTGGGGACCGTGATCACCGCATTCTCGTAAGTCTCCAGGTGCTCCTTGATCTCATCGCACTCTTCCTCCATCTGCTTCAGAGAAGGCAATCCGTCACTCGAAGTGCTTGGTCTTGCCATAAATTCCCACGACGAAGGACGGCAACGATGCTGGTGAGCTGTGCGAGGTCAAAACCAAAGAAGGTAGCATCCGCAAGCTCCACATTCTAAGCAAAGTGTTGCAGAGTATTGGTGAATCTTGTCTATAGGGCAAGTCCCTTGACATGCCTTCGGATCTGCTCCTCAAATGTCTCCACAATGTTGTCCATCTCGAGCAAAGCAATGAGAAAGTCATAGAAGGTCTCATCAATGTCAAAGAAATGCGTTGGTGGACGTCTGGGTCCTTGAGGGCCTTGTCCTCGAAGAGGAGGTAACAATCGATCGTGCACCGTGAGCCTGTCCCAGGGGGAGCTTGGCATTGGAGATCAATTTCACGAAGTCGGGTGCGGCATTCCTGACTGTAATACAGATGAGCTTGCATCTTGCTCATCGTATGATAGAACTTCAGACAAGACGGACATACAGGCTGATCGTAGAGATGTCGCAATGCTGAATGCTGGCCGCGCGTCTTGAACATGTGAGCGGCCTCGCCCGCGCGATTAGCGCATGACAAAGAAGAACCAACACAGCCAAAACTGATCTCTTCCTGTGGTCGTACTGCAGATTGCACGGACTCATACCCTTGCAGCATGGTCTTGATGGTGTTGGCGGCCTGATGATGGCGCAGTCTGACGTGGAAAAGTCGCGACCTTTGAAATATTGAATGCTGACAGCCATTTTGACAAGGCGTTTCCAATATCCAGGGCTGTGTCGAATGATATCATACCATCGATCATAGCCCTGTCTTGGGTCAGGAAGGTTGGAAGAGTTGTGGAGCTGCTCGCACATCCAGACAAGAGCATTTTCAAGAAGTCCTTTCCACTCAGTGTCAGTCGCCAAAATGGCCCAAATGTCCGTTTGATTCATGCGCACAAGAGTGCAGAAATATCTCAACCTTGCCCTCCGCAAAAGTTCCAGGGGCTGGGGAGACGAAGCATCTCAAGTACAGCATCGTCAGATCATCAGCTGGTAGTCTCAGAATGCGTCGGTAGAGCTTGAAAATGGATGCTTGAAAGTGTGACATAGTACGGTGGTCAAAAGCGACCCATGAATCTGCCCCGTACAAGTACTTGCTGAGTACCAACGTTTCAAAGAGCTCTGCCCGCTTCTGTTGGGGGAGGTGTCCATTCTTGAAAATGACCTTGCCATGTTGACTCATGGTTCTGTGCGCGATGCCTGCTCGATGGCGTATTTCTGGTTGCTGATCTCCGGTGTGATGCAAAATGCCGCCAAGGTGGCGATATGTGGTGACGAGTTGCACCCAAGACACTCCATGCTCTCTGATCACCGGCAGCTGCAAATCGGTGTTGGGACCATAGTAAGCAGCACGGGCTTTGCGTCAGCCACTTCCTCGAAACATCATCATGATCTCCGTGTTCCCACGCGCTAAATTTGGCGTCATGCCATGAAAAGCGCACAAATCCAAGGGCTGTCCCGTGACGCGTCCAGTCAGAGATACAAGTCCATCTGGCGAGGCAGGTTTGAAGCAAACTGCAAGGTCGTCCATCCAGGTCGGCCCGAGGAACTTGCAATTCTGGGCAGTTCCACCGTCTGCATTGAAGAGCGGCATCTGTAGTTTGCCTTCAAGTTCAAGGTATGTAATGGCCTCGGTGTCGACTATGTGCTGCTCAAGCTTCTTCAACACGCAGGCCCATGCATAACCGAATATAATATCGGCGAAGCAGTCTCCTGGTCGTGTGCAGGCCCGTGTATACTTATATATATATATGTATACATGTGTATATATTTATATATATATGTATATGTATATGTATATGCAAATATATGTTTATATATAAATATACATATATATATGTATATGTTTATGTAAATGTAAATGTACATGTGTAAATATATATATATGTATATATTTTAAAAAAAAAAAACTATGTATATATATATATATACATATATGTATATATATATATATATATATTTACATATAGATATGTATATATATATACATATATCTATATGTATATAAATATATGTAAATATATACATATATATGTGTATATGTAAATACATCTATGTAAATATGTATATATATGTATATATATATATACATATATATATAATATATACATATATATATATATACATATATATATATACATATACACATATATATATACATATAATATATATATATGTATTTACATATTATATATATTTATATATATTAGATAAACTCAAAAACTCGCTGCCGTGGATATGTTCAAAAACCGCACGAGGGGTTAGCGGGGGGGCGAACGTAGGGGCGAACGTAGGGGCGAACATGCGGGCGAACGTCGCCCGCACGAGCGAGTGGGGGGGCGAGCGGGGGGGGCGAGCGGACGGGCAAACGAGGGGTGAACGAGGGGCGAACGAGGGGTGAACGAGGGGTGAATGAGGGGCGAACGAGGGAATGAACTTGGAGGTAAGGGTGGAGGGCGCATGAAGGGGTCGCACGTACGCATGTACGCACGTACGTACGCATGCAGGCACGCACGTTCATGTGCATGTACGCTCCCACGTTCACATGCATGTTCAGAAATAAGGTTACCTTTAAGGTTACCTTTTATATAAAAGGTAACCTTATTTCTGTACGACCCTAAGCCTCCTAAAGCATATTTAGTATTAGGAGGTCACTTTTCAAAGGTAACCTTATTTCTGAACATGGGTCTGAACATGGTACGTACGTACATGCATACGTGCGAACGTACGTGCGTACGTATGCGCGTACGTGTGTGCATGTGTGTGTGTGCGTGCACGTACGGCCTATGTACGTGCGTACATTCGCCCCCACGTTCGCCCCCCCATTTTTCCCCCCGTTCGCACGTTCGCACCCCCGCCGTACCCTCGTTCAGATGGCCGTACGCCCCCCCACGTTCAATACGTCTAAATATCTTCAAAAATAGGCCGCATCGACCTTTTGGGTCTAGCTAATATATATATATATGTACATATATACATATATATATATATATACATTCTTATATATACATATATGTGTGTGTCTGCGTGTGTACATACATATTTACGAGTAGGTATACCTCTCCTTTAGCAGAAGATTTTAACACCACAGACCACGAAATGGGGAATTTCACCTGTATAACTGTATAACTGTATAACTATAGGTAAACGCAGTATACCGACAGTGGGATCTGGCTATGAAAATCCAAACTGTAGTACCCTTCTCACACCCAAAGGTTGGAGGAGCTAGCAGTTATGGGCGTTCATCCTTTAAGAACGTACCAAGCATTCGCTCAGTGGTTGTACAAAGTGGTACACTGATGCGCCATGTCTCCCATCCAAATCCAGCTGTACAAAAACACCAAAGGCTTGCTGCTTCAAGAGGTGCTCGCTGCTCAAGAGAGCGCGGATATACCTGGACTGATGACATTGGGTAGGAATACCAGTAGTACCACACAAGGCGGTGGCGGAAGTTTCAAAAATAGGAAACCTATAGGAGAGGTTGGTTGTTGTGAATCACGGATGGCAGAGCGAAGCCACTGATGGATCGAAAGGTTATTGATGTCTCCTCTCTTTCTCTCTCTTTCTGTCTCTTTCTCTGACTATCTACCTACCTACCTACCTATCTATGTATCCATCTCTCTCTCTCACTCTCTGTGTGTCTGTCTGTCTCTCTGTCTATCTCTCTATCTATCTACCTATCTATCTATCTAGCTACCTCTCTATCTCTCTATCTCTCTATCTCTCTATCTCTCTATCTCTCTATCTATCTATCTATCTATCTATCTCTCTGTCTGTCTATCTATCTACCTATCTATCTACCCATCCATCCATCCATCCATGCATCCATCCATACCTATCTATCTATCTATCTATCTACCTATCTATCTACCTATCTATCTACCTATCTATCTAGCTATCTATCAATCCATCCATCCATCTATCTGTCTATCTCTCTCTCTCTCTCTCTCTCGCTCTCTGTCTGTCTATCTATCTGCAAGCTTGAAAACGAAGCTATTCTGCGAGACTTCTTCAATTTTTGAGTTTGACAACATCAAAAACAAATGAATTCTGCGAGAATTCCTCATTTTTTGAATTGGACAACATCCAAAACGAAGCAATTCTGCGAGACTTCCTCATTTTTTGAAATTGACAACATCAAAAACGAAGCAACTCTGCGAGACTTCCTTCAAAAATGGAAAGTTGACTGCAGAGCTGACGGCCTCGTGCCAATGCGTTTTGCGATTTTTCCAGTCCATCTGTCTAAACTATTGCGCCTGCCACGAAAAAGTGATGCCAGGTCATACAAAGTGCTGCACCTGTCACACAAAATCATCTCAGCAAACCCGAAGATCTGATGCGCGAAAATGCAACCCCTCTCAGGAAATCAGCGCCCGGACCTCCTAACAGCTCTGATGAGCATGTCTCTTGTATTGCGCCTGCCACGGAAAATGCATCTTTGCAGATCCTCTTCACATGTCCCACGCCTGCCATTGTTTTTGGAAATGCTACAAAACCCTCATGTTTTGCTCACTTTTGACAAGATGCACAATCCCTTGCGCCTGCCAGGCGAAAGCACATCTGAACATCCAAAAGTGCTCCGTGCCCGTCAGTTTTTTGCACTTTTGACTTGGAAATGTGCTTCGCGCCACAATGGTGTGCACTTTTTCGACATCTCAACTTCCAAAAGTGGTCCGACAATGATGTGCTTTGTACATTTTGACTTCGAAATGTGTTTCGCGCCACAACGGAGTGCACTTTTTCGACATCTCAACTTCTAAAAGTGGTCCGAAACTGAGGTGTTTTGTGCATTTTGACTTGGAAAGGTGCTTCGCGCCACAACCGCGTGCACTTTTTCGACATCTCAACTTCCAAAAGTGGTCTGAACGTGAGGTACTTTTAGCTTTGTCACTTGTAAATGTGCTTCGCGCCACAACGGCGTTCTCTCATCTCGCCAGATGACTCCGCACCCGCCGCTTTAGCGAGCCTACTTTTCAACCCTCCGGAGCCTCAAATCATTGGAAAAACACAGTGTTTCGCGACTTTCCTACCTTTTCGCTCACCTGCATCTTCTTTCTTCTGACTCTTTCTCTTCTATCATCTTCTCTCTTCTGCTCTTCTCTCTTCTGCTCCTCTCTCTTCTACTCTTCTCTTCTCTCTGACCCTTTCCATCTCTGCTTTTCATCTGTCCATACTGTCGGAAGTTTGACTTCTAAACTTCCTTCGATGATGGAATGAGACAGCTGAAGTGTTTAAAGTGCTTTATCCATCCTTACCCTTGCCAGGACTTCCAGTTGAAGGTGGTCGGAACATGCTTGAACGTGTAGTATTCTCCCGATTCGTTTGCAACAAAGAAGACAGGATAGTTTGCAGCTTGCAGCAGTGAGAATGAGTTGTAGCAGGGTAGTCTAAATGCTTCCAGTGGCCTTGAAACCAGATCCTTCATCAACTTTTCATCGAATTTATGCAATTATATATGAATGACAACATAACATCAAAATTTCTCCATCCAAAATTCATCCCAAATTTCCACAGAATTTGTGGAGTCTTTGGCGTTGCGATGGCGTTTTGCATCTGCCTGGGATCCGATGGCAGCTCCAGCGACTGCTCCGTGACTTTGGGTCGGCTGCGGCTGCGGCGACGGCTGAGCTGCGGCTCTGCGTCTCCCACCGCATCCTGGTGAGGGGAAAAAAGAAAGATATTGCCAAATTGGCATTGGCGTACTCAGATTGTCTAAGCTTGAGAGGTGAGGACATAACTGACATAACACCAAAATTTGTGCTGGGTGATGGTGATTCAAGCATACATGCGGATATCCACCTATATCTGCCAACTGGTTTGCTATCATTTGTAAATCCACCCTGTGAAGCCTGCCCTCAAGCAGTAGCTTTAGAGATGACCGAAGGTTGTCGGGTGCCACTGCACCACTCTGGATGGGAGGAACTTCACAAGTCAAAGCGTTGTTTGAGACTTCTGATCTTCTAATCTTGTGAAAGATCATGAAAGATCTATTGTCCTGAAGCAGGTTCTTGTATAGCTTCACAAATTCTTCACTATCCTCGGCTGCAGTCCCCAAGGTTTCCCAGGAACAGGTGAACAGTGATGGCCAACATGTCCAACTGATTTATCATGGATTATGATAATCCTCAAGACCTTGGGTAGTATGACCTCAAAAAAATCATAACCACGATTTATCCATCATATCCATTTACATCTGCATGTTTTTCACGTGTTTCACGGTTAAATCCCCGTTGAATTTCTGATCAATGCCAGGGATTCTGAAAGTGTTCGAGGCCGAGCGGCAAGGCCACCACTAAAGTCAACATCAAAACGACCCAAGCGCCGGCCCAATTCGATCTGGTCCAACATCTTCAGGCCTATCCTGGCAAGTCGTAAAACTGGTTGGTTTTTTGTGCCAAAAACTCATAGAAAAGATATTGATTGGATCATGTTGGATCAAAGTTCTTGAGTCATTCCAAAGTCGTTTTGATCGGAGAGTCCAGAAACAAGCTGGGGTACAAAAGGAAAAGGAAGAAAAGAGCCTTTGTCCGATGCCGAAGAAAGAAACGGATTGAACTTTCTGCATCTTTCTGCCACAATAGGCTGACAGGGAGGCATTCAGTGCAGATTTGAATTTGGAAATCCCCAAATGGATGGGTTCCTGGCTCGGGGACACGGATTCTTCACATCACAAGAAAACCTTTCGGATGGAAACGATGACCTTCTTGTCTTCAAGAAACCGTGTATGTTTTGAATATTTGAATGCGGGCTCTTGCAGCACCACCAGGTCTGCTTTTTGAGTCCACAAAAAGCAACACAGTCGGTGCAGCGCTGTCCTTTGATGCATGGCCTCGCACAGAATCTGAAGCTCATCTCGCTCAATTTGCCCATTCTTGTTCAAATCACAGCGCGCAAAGACAGAGTTCGCCTCAAGGGGGCGAAGTCGGCAAAGTGTTTGGACCAGGTGACACTATTACTATGATCATCAACATCTTTTTTCTAACTGCATGTTGGCTCCAGAGGATTGCTGATTGAGGCAGCTACAAGAGCCGCTTTCACTCTGTCAGCATTGAACTCCAATAGGTGTCCATAAATGGGGTACCCCAATAGCTGAATGGTTTACCAGTAGTACCCGCACGAGGCGGGGCGGAAGTTGCCTTAAGAATATATAAGAACTTTCTCATCTATAGAACTTGCATGCGCCGTGCACCAGCCAAGCCCGTGCGTGCGTGCACTGTGCAAAAGTTGTGTCCTGTTTCACATGTCACATTTGAAGCTCCACTTCGCACTTCACACTCCACACTTCACACTTCACACTGCACTCTTCGCACTCCACACTTCACGCTTCACACTCCACACTTCACACTTCACACTGCACTCTTCGCACTCAACACGTCACTTCACACTGCACTCTTAAGACTCCACACTTCACACTCCACACTTCACACTGCACTCTTCGCACTTCTCACTTCTCACTGCTTTCTTCACACTCCACACTTCACACTTTACACTGCACTCTTCATCACGCCCCACACCTCACACTGCACTCTTCACACTCCAGACTTCATCTCATCTGAGCTCTTCTCACCCTTTCCCAGCTCATCTCATCTCATCCCTTCTCATATGTCATCTAAGCTTTGATGAATCACTTCCCAGTACTACTACTAAGGAACTTGCATGCGCCGTGCGCCAGCCAGGCCCGTGCGTGCGTGCTTTGTGCGAAGCAGTTGCAGTGTTGTTGTCCAAGAACATGACCCGCGCGCGACACCGGTGCAATGCAACGTGAAGCAAAGCAAACACTTTCCTCACACTTCACATTGCACTCTTCACACCCCACACTCCACACTTCACACTTGCACCTCATCTCAACTCATCTCATCTGAGCTCTTCTCATCTCATTTCATTTCTTCCCATATATCAGCAAAGTTCTTCTGGGCTATTTTCATGTCATCTGAGCGCAGCTCAAACTTTCTCATCTCACCGGAGCTAGTCTCAACTCATCTCGGCTCTTCTGCACGTCAGAAAGCTTGAGACACAGATGCACTTTACACAGCTTGCACAGAGTACTCCCCAGTAGTACTTGAAGAAACACCTTTCACCTCATTTACAGTATTGAGTGATTAATGCCAAGCGTTCATGCATTGCATCAAATCTCAACCGCAAGTCTTTCGTCAAGACAACTTATTGTAAACATGGTGTAGTTGTTATCTGTCAATCAGACTCACGCATTGCACAAAGCACTTCCCAGTACTACTCTGTACTACACAAAGCTTGCACAAACTACTTCCCAGTACTACTTTGTACTACAAAGCTTGCACAAAGCACTTCCCAGTACTACTTCGTTATCTACAAAGCTTGCACAAACTACTTCCCAGTACTACTGTGCACTACAAAGCTTGCAGAAACTACTTCCCAGTACTACTTTGTACTACAAAGCTTGCACAAACTACTTCCCAGTACTACTTTTGTACTACAAAGCTTGCACAAACTACTTCCCAGTACTCAGTACTACATTGTACTACAAGCTTGCACAAAGCACTTCCCAGTACTACTTTGTACTACAGAGCTTGCACAAAGTCCTTCCCAGTACTACTTTGTACTACAAAGCTTGCACAAAGCACTTCCCAGTACTACTTTGTACTACAAAGCTTGCACAAACTACTTCCCAGTACTCAGTACTACTTTGTACTACAAGCTTGCACAAAGCACTTCCCAGTACTACTTTGTACTACAAAGCTTGCACAAAGTCCTTCCCAGTACTACTTTGTACTACAAAGCTTGCACAAAGCACTTCCCAGTACTACTTTGTACTACAAAGCTTGCACAAAGTCCTTCCCAGTACTACTTTGTACTACAAAGCTAGCACAAAGCACTTCCCAGTACTACTTTGTACTACAAAGCTTGCACAAAGTCCTTCCCAGTACTACTTTGTGCTACAAAGCTTGCACAAAGTCCTTCCCAGTACTACTTTGTACTACAAAGCTTGCACAAAGCACTTCCCAGTACTACTTTGTATGATCTTTTCAGTCAATCCCGTTATTAATTAATAGTAGTACCGCACAAGGCGGTGGCGGAAGTTTGAAAAATTACTTTACTTCGAGCGATCCCCACCATGACATTTATCGATTTGTTACTGGCAGATCTTCTGGCATTCTATCTGACATATCTTCTGGCATTCGATCCGGCATTCTATCTACCATATCTTCTGGCATACATTCTGGTATATCTTCTGGCATATCTTCTGGCATTCTATCTGGCATATCTTCTGGCAGATGTTCTGGCATATCTTCTGGCATTCTATCTGGCATATCTTCTGGCATATTGTCTGGCAAATCTTCTGGGATTCTATCCGGCATATCTTGTGGCAGTCTATCTGATATTTTATCTGGCATTCTATTTGGCATACCTTCTCGCATTCTATCTGGCATATCTTCTGGCATTCTATTTGGTATATCTTCTGGCATTCTATCTGGCATATCTTCTGGCATTCTATTTGGCATATCTCATGGAATTTTATCTGGCATATCTTCTGGCATTCCATCTGACATTCTATCTGGCATATCTTCTGGCATTCTATCTGCCCGTTGAGGTCCAGCAGTGCACACTGAGCTGGGGAGGTCCCCGGTTGAGGTCCAGCGGTGCACACTGCGCTGGGCAAATCCCAGGTTGAGGTCCAGCGGTGCACACTGGGCTGGGCAGGTCCCAGGTTGAGGTCCAGCGGTGCACACTGAGCTGAGACGGTCCCTGGTTGAGGTCCAGCGGTGCACACTGAGCTTGAGGTCCAGCGGTGCACACTGAGCTGGGCAGGTCCCAGGTTGAGGTCCCAGTGCACACTGAGCTGGGAAGTTGGCAAAGAGCTTGGCGAAGAGAGTTGGCAAAGAGCTTGGCGAAGAGTTGGCAAGGCGGAAGTGGAGGTGGAAGTTGATGCAGACATGGTCGAGGAGAAACTAGAGGGGGAGGAGGAGGAGGACGAGGAGGAGGAGGAGGACAGCTAGCCGAGGAGGAGGAGGAGGAGGAGGAGAACAGCTCTGATAAAATCTAACAACCCTCACCTGGCAGGTGGGGAAAAAGGAAACCTATAGGAGAGGTCGGTTGTTGTGAATCAGGGATGGCAGAGCGAAGCCACTGATGGATCGAAACGTGATTGATCTCTCTGGTTCTTTTTCTCTGACTACCTACCTACCTACCTACCTACCTATCTATCTATCTATCTATCGATCTATCTATCTATCTATCCATCTATCGATCTATCTATCGATCTATCTATCTATCTATCGATCTATCTATCGATCTATCTATCTATCGATCTATCTATCTATCTACCTGTCTATCTGCAAGCTTGAAAACCTGGCTATTCTACGAGACTTCTTCATTTTTCCAAGTTGACAAGATCAAAAACGCAGCACTTCTGCGAGACTTCCTCATTTTTTGAAGTTGACCACATCAAAAACGAAGCAATTCTGCGAGACCTCCTCATTTTTTGAAGTTGACCACATCAAAAACGAAGCAATTCTGCGAGACCTCTTCAATTTTTGAACTTAACAACGTCAAAAACGAAACAGTTGTGCGTACTCTTCTCTTCTCTCTGACCCTTTCCATCTCTGCTTTCATCTGTCCATACTGTCGGAAGTTTGACTTCTAAACTTCCTTCGGCTAAAAAGCTTGCACAAACTACTTCCCAGTACTACTTTGTACTACAAAGCTCGCACAAAGCACTTCCCAGTACTACTTTGTACTACAAAGCTTGCACAAAGCACTTCCCAGTACTACTTTGTACTACAAAGCTTGCACAAAGTCCTTCCCAGTACTACTTTGCACTACAAAACTTGCACAAAGCACTTCCCAGTACTACATTGTACTACAAAGCTTGCACAAAGCACTTCCCAGTACTACTTTGTACTACAAAGCTTGCACAAACTACTTCCCAGTACTACTTTGTACTACTACAAAGCTTGCACAAAGCACTTCACAGTACTACTTTGTACTACAAAGCTTGCACAAAATACTTCCCAGCACAGCAAGGCTTTTAAACGGAGAAGCTTTTACACACAGAAGCTTTTACACGCAACAAGCTGTTACACAGAGAAGCTTTTACAATCAGCAAGCTTTCACACACAGCAAGCTTTTTAAACAGAGAAGCTTTTACACACAGAGAAGCTTTTACACACAGCAAGCTTTTACACACAAAATCTTTTACACACAGCAAGCTTTTACAGAAAAAAAATACACTACACAGAGAAACTTTCTTGTACATAATCACAACACGAATTGCAGCTCCAAAACCGGATCCCGGCGCCAAAGCAGAAAAAAGACGATTTCGAAGCACTTTTTAAAAGGATTTTTAGAAGGAAAATTACTAGCGCCAAAATTGCGAAAATCTGATGACAAATCACTTTCGCAGCCTTGATGCAGCCACTCCAATACGATTTACGAGATCCAGCTGCACCAGACAATAGTATTACGCATGCAGCCGCGGCACCAAGCAACCTTGACGCAGCCACTAACTACAATGCGATCCGCAGAGACTGAGTTGCAGAACGCAAAAGAACTACGCGCAACGGCGTCGGAAATTGCAGCTCCAAAACCGGATCTCGACACCAAAGCAGAAAAAAGACGATTTTGAAGCATTTTTTCACAGGATTTTTAAAAGGAAAATTATTAGCGCCAAAATTGCGAAAATCTGCTGACAAATCACTTTCGCAGCCTGGATGCAGCCACTCCATTACGATTTACGATCTTCAGCTGCAAAAGACAATAGTATTACTACAGTATTACGCATGCAGCCGCGGCACCAAGCAACCTTGACGCAGCCATTACAATGCGTTTCGCAGCATCACGTCGCAAACCTGCACGTATCTACGCACATGGCAACACCAGATGACAACAATCATGCAGCCAGTCCAATGCGATCTGCAACCGCAGATTCCAAAACACCCTATAACTACGCACACACAAGCACAGCCAAAGCAGCTTGAAGCGCAGCCGCACCCGCCGCACACAGGAGGTACCTTTCATCGCCGCCTGCAGCCACTTTACACGGAAAAATACAAGGTTTCGTGCTCCGGCTTCCTCCCCAACACAAGCCCCATGCAACATTCATGCAGCCATTACAATGCATTTTGCACCTCCCTTCATCAAGGTCAATCCTTTTGTGATGTATTGTTATGTGATGTCAAGTCTCACACCGCCCTTCATCAAGGTCAATTCTTTTGTGATGTATTGTTATGTAGTGTAAAGTCACACACCGCCCTTCATCAAGGTCAATTCTTTTGTGATGTATTGTTATGTAGTGTAAAGTCACACACCGCCCTTCATCAAGGTCAATTCTTTTGTGATGCATTGTTACGTAGTTTAAAGTCTCAGACCGCCCTTCATCAAGGTCAATTCTTTTGTGATGTATTGTTATGTAGTGTAAAGTCACACACACCGCCCTTCATCAAGGTCAATTCTTTTGTGATGTATTGCTATGTAGTGTAAAGTCACACACCGCCCTGTGTCAAGGTCAATTCTTTTGTGATGTATTGTTATGTAGTGTAAAGTCACACACCGCCCTTCATCAAGGTCAATTCTCTGTGATGTATTGTTATGTAGTGTAAAGTCTCACACCACCCTTCATCAAGGTCAAGTCTCACAATTCTATTTGTCCGTAACACGGAAGTATTGCTTCCCAACTTCCTTTGATAATGGAAAATCATATTTAAATGGATGATTCAGGTACCTCTATTGTAGGAAACCTCCATGTAGGAGAAACTATCCAACGGACTGTCTTTGACATGTCACTGTGGCTAGCCAGCTTTGCTTCTATGTCGCTTCCGCGCAAATCTGAATTGTATATATGTGCCTTGAAATAATGGGAACAGCTGTTGAACAGCTCAATTGGAGTTCCTAAACTTCACACACACACACACTTGCTCATGACACACCCTTGCCATTCATCATCTACAAATCCACATAGCTAGTGTCACCGCCATTCTCTTGATTGCCCCAGCTCACCACAGATCCATCCGCCAGAATTGCCGCAAACGCATCCTGAGCAGCGTGGATCTCTCTGACCTGTCGCAGTTGTCCTTGGACCCTGCTGCTGTCACCACCACAAGATCTGTGGCCCCAGGTCACCACCAAGCCGTCCTCAAGAAGGGCCGCAAAAGCCGCCTTTGTGGCAGCTATCTGCTGAACGCCTCGCAGCTTCTCTTGGACATCTGAGGACTCGCCACCACATTGAGGAGATCCCCAGGTTACTACTGAACCATCCTGGCGGAGTGCTGCGAAGGCACCAATGGTGTCACTCCCAGTGCCTTGGATCTGATGTACATTCTGCAAAAGTGGTGACACCGCAATGCTATTGCCACCACACATTGGATTGCCCCATGTTACCACAGATCCATCACCCAGAATGGCAGCGAACGCTGCTTTGGACGCCTGAATCTCGCGCACGTCTCTCAACCGGTCTTGAACGGAGCCGCAATCACCACCGGAGTCCCTGCTACCCCAAGCAATGGCCGATCCGTCCTGTAGGATAGCCGCAAAGGCTGCAACATTGCTCTGGATCTTCAGCACGTGTTTTAAGCTCCTCCCCACATCATAGCTGCAGTTTCCACCGAAATGCCCTGGACCCCATGTCACCACAGAGCCATTTGCAAGAATGGCAGCAAATGCAGCTGACGAGGCTTGAATCTCGATCACACCCCGCAACTTCCTCTGGACACGCCGGCTATCTCCACCATAATTCGGATTTCCCCAGGTTACTACTGACCCATCCCTTCTGAGGGCCGCAAACGCCTCAGAGTTGGATTGAAGTTGAAAAACGTCATGCAGTTCCTCCTGAACTTGATCACTGAAGCCCCCACTGAGAGGATTGCCCCAAGTTACCACAAGTCCATCCGCCCGCAAGGCCCCAAAGGCTGCCGTGGTCGCCTGCAGATGCTGGACCCCCTGGAGCTGTTCCTGGACCCCACTGCAGTCGCCACCGGCCTCGGGGTCGCCCCAGCAGGTGACACTGCCATCCCCGCAGAGCGCGGCGAAGGCCCGGTGCGTCGCTTGCAGGCGCTGGACATCCACCAGGCGATCCTGGACAGCGCTGCAGTCGCCACCAGTGAGGGGATTTCCCCAAGAAACTGCGGATCCATCGCTCCTCACCACACAGAAGGACTCAGTGGAAGCCATCAGCTGAACAGCATCGGGTCGAACTGTGGCAGTCAAGGTGTCACCGTCTTGCAGGCCGCTTCGATGGATGGGCTGCTTCTTTGGCAATACCACACCCGACAAAGTCATGAGTTTTCCAAGACCAACACCCAATTCAATCTGTGCTCTTTGCTTCAACTCGTTGATGGTCCAGGCAGCATCTGCTTCCAAAACCACATCTTTTCCACTCAGCAAGGTGATTGTTAGGAGCATTGCGACGGACGAGAATTGATGTCAGGGAATGATTCTCCACATACCTTCCTACAGGAAACAAACATCCGCAAATTCTGCTATCCTAGGACAACGAAATCCAAGCCTTTATGATATCGTGTGAATCTAAGCTTTGATTTCTACACCTAGATTGAAAAAGACGGTGTTTCGTGCTCAAATTCTGGAAATTTCACAACATGGTGCCTTTTCTAGAACTTGAGCAAGGAAAAACACCCATGATGTACGCAAGGCTTCCAACCAAAGTGATGCGATAATATAACCCATTCAACCTCAAGAACCACGGCCATAAAAATCCTTCATTTTCTATTTGGAATAAATATATGGAAATATATAGATGATTCTCATGAAACAGCTAGTTTCAGCTTCACCAATGGATGATTTTCGTTCAAAAACTGTTGGAAATCACGGGGGTTCCCTGGAAATCCACCTGCTGCTGCAGTAGCTCCTCACTCTGGAGAAGAGCCCGAACGAAACGCGCGTCCGCTGGAAGCTCAGGAATCGCCACCATGGGCCACGCGCATCAACTGTTCCTTTTTTTGTGGGATCCTGGGATCATTGCTTTTTGGTCTCTATGGATATGTAGACTAGACATAGACTTGATATAGACTTGATATATTTGATGTTGATATAGTAGCCTTTAAAAGATACAGAGATAGAGATCTATACATAGCTGGATAGATGTGTGTAGCCATTTTTTGTAGCATATGTCTCTATGAATTCTGACGTTTCAGTTGTGAGGATACGAAATTGATAGATGTTGATAGAGCGTCATGCGAAATGCTGGGACTTGGTTTGGCTTGGGAAAGATATGCATGAGATCCCTCAGCAACAGTGTCAGTGAGGTCGAGAAGCTAGTATACAGTATACAGTCCTTTCGAGCTGATGCAACAAAGGAGCAGTTGATTTGCTGAAGTGATTGGTTCACACTAGTAAGTCACTAGTAGCAATATGAAACTTATTTCCAAACTGAAATCAGCTTTGCGAATTGTGCTTGATCCCGAAAGTCTATGCAAAGATGCAAAGATCTGCTGCAAAATCCCAGCCGCTTGTAGCTATGTGATCTATGTGAAGCAGAAGTGAAGTCTAAGTGGATTCCCTGGTACCTGGAGTCTAAGCTTTTGAAGCTCTCTCCAGCTATCTCTGGAACAACCAGAACTGCTCCATCCTCTGCTTCTTCTCCCACGGCTGTCATCTGCCTAGCCACCGTGTAGGCGTTGGAAAATGTTGAACGAGTCTACGGGAAAAAAATAGACGACGGATGGCCCGAGAGCGTAGAGGAGCAGGGTCTTCTCTTGTTAGTATGGAAACACCATATTACAAAACAATATATTAAAGATGTGTTATAGGCAGTCGAGAAGAGGAGTATCAAGACAATATAGCACAAGTACAAGACAATAGTTTGCATTGCAAACACTTTTACACACAGAAGCTTTTACACAGAGCAAGCTTTTACACAGAGAACCCCTTACACAGAGAAGCTTTGACACACAGAAGCTTTTACACAGAGACACTTTTACACAGAGACGCTTTTACACACAAGGCACTTTTACACACAGGCGCTTTTACATACAGGCAGTTTTACGCACAGACGCTTTTACACACTGTTGCTTTTACACAGACGCTTTTACAAACAAAGCTTTTACCCACAGAAGCTTTTACAGACAGAAGCTTTTACACACAGACGCTTTTGCACAGACGCTTTTACACACAATCACTTTTACACACAGATGCTTTTACACACAGAAGCTTTTACACCCAGACCCTTTTACACACAGGAGCTTCTACACACAGAAGCGTTTACACGCAGACGCTTTTAGACACAGAAGCTTTTACACACAGAAGCTTTTACACACAAACACTTTTACACACAAACACTTTTACACACAGACGCTTTTACACACAGACGGTTCTACACACAAACACTTTTACACAGAAACACTTTTACACACAGACGCTTTTACACACAGACGGTTTTACACACAGACGCTTTTACACACAATCACTTTTACACACAGACGCTTTTACACACAGACGCTTTTACACACAGACGCTTTTACACACAAACACTTTGACACACAGACACTTTTGCACACAAAAGCTTTTACACACAGACGCTTTTACACACAAACACTTTGACACACAGACACTTTTGCACACAAAAGCTTTTACACACAGACGCTTTTACACACAAACACTTTGACACACAGACGCTTGCACACACAGACGCTCTCACACACAAATGCCTTTACACACAAACACTTTTACACACAGACACTTTTACACACAAACACTTTGACACACAGACGCTTTTACACACAAAAGCTTTTACACACAGACGCTTTTACACATTAACACTTTTACACACGAAAGGGTTGCGCGAGACAACTTGAAATCGCAATTTTACCCCAGTTTTTAACGATCGAACCTCATTTCGTGCGAAAGGGTTGCGCCGGGCAAGTTGAAAGCGCAATTTTACCTCAGTTTTTGACGATCGAACCTCGTTTCGTGCGTAAGGGTTGCGCGGGACACCTTCAAATCGCAATTTTACCTCAGTTTTTGGCGATCGAACCTCATTTCGTGCGAAAGGGTTGCGTTTCGTGCCGTCTCGTTGGCACTGCCCCTGCCCCCGCCTTCAGAAGAGAAATAGAAAAGAAGGAGAGGGCAAGAGGGCAAGAGGGGAAGAGGACAAGAGGGCAAGAGGGCAAGAGGGCAAGAGGGCAAGAGGGCAAGAGGAGAAGATGTGAAGATGAGAAGATGTGAAGATGAGCAGATGTGAAGATGAGCAGATGTGAAGATGAGCAGATGTGAAGATGTGCAGATGTGAAGATGAGCAGATGTAAAGATGGGAAGATGTGAAGATGAGAAGATGTGAAGATGAGAAGATGTGAAGATGAGAAGATGTGAAGATGAGAAGATGTGAAGATGAGAAGATGTGAAGATGAGAAGATGTGAAGATGTGAAGATGTGAAGATGTGAAGATGAGGGATGAGAAGATGTAAAGAGGAGAAGATGTGAAGAGGAGAAGATGTGAAGATGGGAAGATGTGAAGATGAGAAGATGTGAAGATGAGAAGATGTGAAGATGAGAAGATGTGAAGATGAGAAGATGTTTTACAGACCCCCACTATTGGAAGAACCCGGCGCTCAGACGCTCTCGGGAAAAACGTCGGATTGAATTTGCATACCCTAATCAATCCAGATCATTCCAAATCATTTAGATACACATAGTATGAAAAACCAATTCAACTGAGGATGGATCAAATCAAAACCAAATGAGGACCGTAAGTGGACACGTCTCCAAGATGGTCTGACAGCATTTTTCTTGTGTGACCCATCGAGCCAAGGTACAAATCGCTCTTGGCGAAAGCGGAGAATTGACGCCTTGGGCGGTCGAAAGTGACGACAAATTTCAGGGTGAATTTACCAGGCCGCACGTCCACGTCCAACTGAGCCTATGGCCCCATAGGAGCTGGCTCCGAATACTGTGAAGCGGGCACAAGGCGTTTCACGGCAAGAAAGTGAAACCAGTGGAATGCCTTCTTGACCGATCGAAGAAAATCTCGGCTGAAAGTAGGCTACCCGTAAATCCACTGTTTCATCACCATTTCGGTCATCGGGAGGCCATACCCCATCTTTCAATGTTTCAGACAAACTCAGAAAATAAAGGTCAAAACCCTTAAAGCCATGATGAAACTGATTATATACCCTCTGGTAAACTAACATAACTATGGAAAATCACCATTTTTAATGGGTAAAATGGTAAACCCAACAAACCCCAGCCCTATATCCATGGCGCAGCCACCCGCCTGACGCTTGGCTAAAGACACCCCCTGGGCGGCCAGAGAAACACCGCGGCTTGAAGCTAATCCACAATTGGTAAGAAAAACATCCATGGCAATAGGAAATATCCCGTTGTTCGTCGGGAAAACATTATATATATATATATATCATATATATATATATAAGTGTTGCATGCAGCAAGGTGATGGGTTCTATTCTCAGAGCAGATTTCCTAGCGGCCAGGACCCTGACAGCACCGGGCACGTCGTCATCCTCGTTGTCAACGCTGATGAATGTGTTCTTGACCTAAGAGTACCCAGAGAAGCAAACACTAAGAAGAAGCTCAGCTTCCGTGATATTTCGTGACACTAACTAATAACTAGTTGTCAAATTTCATCAGAAAAACTGGATCAGAAAAGACTGACATTCAACATCATTTAACCACCTTAGCTGTGCTTCTTTTCAATTTAATGGCTGTGTGTACCCAAGGAGTGTAGACTTGATCCCAATAACGATTCAGGAACCTTGTGTCATGATCTTCCTATAATTTCACGTGCAGTCGCTTTGGCCCTGACTTTAAGGCCTCCGGTTTGCATGGCCTTGCCATTCATCATGACCTGAGAAGCTAACGGATGTCACAGCCTTCCAGTTACAGTAACTACATAAGAGCATGCGCCTCGTATGCTCAGATTGATATGTCAAATCACCTCTGGTATAGAATGTGTATGTATGCGCGCATGTATGTATGATACACATACGTACGTACATATGTATGTGCATATGCACGTATGTCGGTACCTATGGCGAGTGTATGTATGTCATGTCATGCCATGCCATGTCATGTCATGTCATCTAAAGTAATGTGTTTTACTGTAAAGGAATGTCAAGTGAAATATGCATATAGTGTAATGGAATAGAATGGAATGGAATGTAATGTGAATGTGTGTCCGTGTGCTTTTATGCAGATATGTATTTATGTACGTATATCTATGTCTACATGTGTATATGTAAATATATATATATATAATTATATATATATATCAAAATTCGACTTTCATGAAGACTGGCAAGTTGGTCATTGTTTAAGTCGCGCTTCGAGTATTTCCTCACGGTAAACCCGGTAAACGGTCCACGCTTGGGGGATGGTCATCCTACAATTAACAACCCCAGCTTCCCCAAAGGATGGAATGCCTGGTTTCAACGACAGCAGCGACTGCATCCAACTGAAATCCAAGATTCAAACAACACCGAAAGAAAACTGATCCGTGAATACCAGAAAACGACAAGCCACTCAAAAAAAGTCAGGCGTTTCGTACTAAAATCAAAATCAAATCAGTCACAGCGCCGGACTGTGAAGAGAACCGTGCGAGTTGTAAATTTCAGAGGCAAGAACTGCCAGAGAATCGTTGATCGATCAACAAAAAGGAAAAACGGCTGTCGTGCCTGAGGAAAAAGATATGTGACTGGCAGTGGCTGATCTTTCTTAGTAGGTACAATATTAGCCTTCAAGAGAAAATGGTGCTGTAGATCTAAATGTCTGCAACTCAACCAGCTCAAGCGTAATGGACCTGGCTTGGCAGCGGCAAATACGTACCCGACTGTCACAGGAGTGGATTGACCCCTTTTAACATCAATTAACCTGGTTAAATGGCTTGAAATGCCATGTTTTCTGCGTGCCCTATTTTCAAGCCCGAGAAACCTTTTTGATATGTCTGCAACACATCAGATTGCAACATTCTGCGTTGAGACATACTTACTGAGGGTTTCTGTCATCTCAAATTGCGCCACTGGGACTTTTTGTCTCCAAAGCTTGCACTCGTTGGTAACTGTTCATGGTCTGGGGGCTGGCGAAGACAAAACACTCTCTTTCTACATGGTGCCAGTTTTTTAAGGAGAAGAACCAATTGTTCAATTCAAAAACTCTGACATGATGCACATGTTTCAATACCATGCTATGTCTATGCACTCATTAATTTACAGATAATATGATGCTGAATTAAATATTTCACCAACCTGAAATATTGCCATTTGGGGATGATTCCCGTTACAACCCATGATCTATGGTGACCTCGCAGAGACGCCGTTATAATTCGGCCAAATATATCCAAATATATGTATATTATGTATATCATATACTTTATTACTTGTATATATTCTATCAAATGGGTTTGTCTAAAAATAGGGTACCTTAAAATCCGATGGATTATCATCATGTTCCCTATTAGAATGACTCTTTGGGATGTCACCATTTTCTCACACGCACACACGCACACACACACACACATTTCGCTGTCAGAAAAATCCAACAAAACCACTTCTGGCCATTGCAGCCTCCAGCCTTACCGCACCTCTTTGAGGTTAGAGGGCCAAGCTGAAGATTATTATCGCCGGTGTTGCTCTGAACACGGAAGGAGAGGGTGAAGAAATCAGAAGCAAACTAAGCAAACAGCATGAAATCTGCATAGATCTGCATAGCTTCTCTACAAAATGGGAGATAAAAATGTTGCAAAATGCTGTTGGTGATGGCCTCTTCCCACCAGAATCAACCGGATTTGTGGACACGGTCTATGAATCTATGGGATAACCCTGCAGAGATCTGCAGGGTGGGAGTGGATTTTGCCCCAAAAAGAAAAGGAATCTCCCTTCGCCCTCCCAGGATTTTCTGAATGGTGTGGAAAAGCAATTCAAAGATTTTTGGGAAATGGGTCTGTCTCAAACGTAGGATACCCCCAGCTTAATGTGTATTGATAAATGATGATATTCACTGTGAAATTCGGGGGTACGCCGCTGTGAGACAAACCCCAGTTGGATAAAAATTACGACATCGCCGAGCCGGAATTCGGCTCGGCCATCTCCCTTAAGTCAGCCGTCAAGAGCCCTCAGAAGGGGGAAATTCCTGGTACCCTGCTGTGAAAAGGGGTTATTCTCATAGGTTTTGACTGTTATTGGAAGCCGGCAAACATAGAGAACCGTTTCATCCGTATGATATGATTTATGTGTATATATATATATACATATATATTATATGTACACGGAGGCAGCTTGTGAAGCTCTTCAGCACAGCGCACACCACAGATCAAGCTTTGTCAATGGCCGATCGCTCTCGGAGGTGGAACTGCTCATGGATGGCATCCTTAGCCCGTCAGGAGCAATACTTTATCGAAAGGCACGTGTTTAATTCTACAATTTTCCCGTTCTTTTACAGTCGAGAAGTAGGTCTCTCGTCTTTAAAAGGCAAGTCGCAGCAATCGCACTGTCCACCGCTGGCTTAGGCTTTTTGTACTTGGCCAAGACCTGCTTAAGCTTGTCCATAATCTTATCAGACTCTCGCCTCCTGAGACGCAATCCATTGTGAAGGATGATAAAGTCGTTTTGCCAACGCAAACGTTTTGCAGTTGCAAGTCATCGTGTGAGAAAAATCTGCGTTGTGATGTCTGGGACAGAGCGAATAAGTTGCAACTGGACAGCTGTGGCAAAGTATGTCCTTTGAGATGCTGAAATCAATGGATCCATAACATCTACAGCAGCAACGTGACTCATGGCATGTTGGTACCCCATCCTGTCGACAACTTGCTCAAGAGCTCGGCGTGCCTTTAGCTCCGTGGCAGCTGGTGTCGTGCCGGTCGTCAGATTTCGGCGCTGCTTCAAAAAGAATTGCTTTGTGCCATGGAAAAATCCGAAAATTTGGAAAGTCCCCAAGAGCAGTGGCATAATGGTCATTTTGATATGTGTTCATCAGATTTCTCCCGGGCCCATGAACCCCTTGGATCAGCACCTTCAACAGCTCGTTACGCTGAAAGGTCATCATCCGCAGTGCTTCAGCTGCGTCGCCTCGGATGTCACAGGATCAAAGATGGAGATTTCGTAGGTCCTACTGGTATGTGAACTGGGAATTTGACATAATTTCACATTGTATCTCAGTCTCGCAAACATGCTAACATCACGAGCAATCACGTTCAACATGTTCAACCAAGGTGGAGCTTGCGGCTCCTTGTGACATCAGCTTGGTTCATCCGGGTGTCACGTGCCTTGACGCTTCTTGGGCTCGCTGGCTGCCACCTTGCATTTCAGGTGACATCTGGAGGATCAAAAGGGCTATCACATTGACACCAGGATCTGGAGAAAGCGGATCTCTGCCTTGTTCTTTAGTCGCTTGGTCTGGCCGTCCTGGAATTCTTGTGCTTCAGACCAACTGAGAATTTCAACTTGTGCTGGTGTACATCATGATTCCAAAGCGCACAAGTTAGAACGTTCCAACGAAAATCTATGTATTAGACTTTGTATACAAAAACTGTTTGGCTGCAAGACCAATTCCTCAGTATACTAGTATATTCAGAACAGGCTTGATTACCTCACTGGAAGGTCCAGATAGGCAAATGTGTGTTTTCCCAAGATCCAACATCTGCTAGAATTGAATCTACCAGCCTCCGAAGAGCTGTCGAGCTTCATTGAAGGTCTGCAACGGTGCTGATAGTTCAAGAATACCCAGAGGACCACAGATTTTGGCCAGTTCGCCACAACTGCGCAGTACCCCAAGTTTGAACCGTACTCAATACATCCGTTGTATCCCTTACATCATTCTGGGTAAATTATAATATTTCACTAACCTGAATTAAGGCCATTTGGGGATGATTCCCCTTACTAACTATGATTATAGTGAGGTCGCAGTGAGGTCGCAGTGAGGTCGTTATAATTTACCCAGATCATTGAGACTGCTAATCCAGCTCCGGATCCCAAAGACCCAACTGACACAGCACAGAACGGCTGCAAGTGGGCAGGACGACTGCACCATCTCATCTCCAGGTTCATGGCTAATAAACTGCCGACGCATACCTAAATGGCTCGGTGCTTTCCATTCACACAAACAAAAGTTTGTGGATCCTGTTTTATCCCTCGTTTTGGAAAGTCCGCAAAAATCCCAAATTGCTTCATATATTTTGGATCAATTGCTGTGTCAGATTCCCCCCGTGGGTGGAAACCCACCAGCCGTCGCCTTCGCTCCTCGTCTTGTTCCACAACCAGTGGTAGGGAGGCGGCCAGCTCCTCAGGGCGAAAAGCTTTGGCAAATGTTGCCACGTTGGGATGTGTAGACTATATTTTGCTGCAAGTGTGGGCTGGATTTGCAGTCAGTCAATCAGATTTTCTACGCCTGCTTGACGGAGAACAAAAAAATGTGTGTTTTTTGAGCTGCGGATGGGGGTGTTCGTTTTTTGCTGGATATTTACGCTCATTTTTCAGGAACATATGTCACAAATTTATACAAATTTAGCCTACGGTACAAGTCCAAAACTGGAAACAGTACAAGTACAAGACTGGAAAAGTACCGAGAGTGGCACAACTCATTTGAAAAAAAAAACTCGAAACTCATACATCTCTCGAATCAGCATTCAGATGTGCATATTCAAGGATACTTCGCTCACTTCCGGTGAAAGCAATCCCAGCAGCCTCTTGCTCGTGATTTCTACTGTGAGCAGGCTAGCTGAAAGGTTTTCTTCTAAGGTCCTTCTTCACCCGTTCCTTCTGCCCTGTCCGCAGCATATGTCGCAGTCTCTCCTGAAACCAACATTAAGGTTGACAGTGTTTGACAAAACCACAAAAATCCAGCCAGCATCTGCCAAAAACGCTGGTTGGACGTGGCCATTGGCTTTTATGACCAATTGATCCAATGGGAAATAAGGATGAAAGAAATGTATACACATATCACAATACTATAGAACAAATAGATGACTCATACATTCTTATACCATCTATGTACATGCATGTATAACTAAAATCTTGCAACCTGTCTGGCGTCACCCCCGGCCTTGCTCCGCAACTGCACCTCGAAGTCCACAGACAGCTGGGAATTGCCTGGCCAATCGGCATGCTCTCGGGCCACCACACGCCTGCAGCGCAATGGGGATATCATGGCCATGTATCGTGGGAATTCATGGGATATAATGTGGGATTATAATGGTACCTGGTATATATATCATGGGATTATTTATGTGTATATATATATACATATACGTACATCATCTATCACATGGGGAATGCGCAGCGAAGGATTCTTGTTTTCTTGGTAGGGGGTCTGGGGGTGGTGGACTGTTTGCGGGTCGTTTTCGTGTCGCAGGTCTCTAATGGCGTCGTCGCCGCTGTCTTTGGGGAAAGTGAGAAAAGGTGATGTGTTTGGACGTGTGAAAGTGCATTTCGCGTGGCAAACGAGTGACTTTCTGGCACTCAAGCGAAAGTTGCTTTGCGACTCTCTAATCGCATCGTCGCCGCTGTCTATGGGGAAACTGAGAAAAGGTGATAGTTTGTGATGTGCGAAAGTGCATTGTGATGTGTGAAATAAGAAGTGCGAAGTGTGGAGTGTGAAGTGTGAAGTGTGAAGTGTGGAGTGGAGAGTGGAGAATGTGACGTGTGGAGTGTGGAGTGTGAAGTGTGAAGTGGAGAGTGTGCAGTGTGCAGTGTGAAATGTGCAGTGTGAAGTGTGCAGTGTGGAGTGTGAAGCCTGAAGTGTGAAGTGGAAAGTGTGACGTGTGAAATTACAGTGTGAAGTGTGAAGTGTGAAGTGCGAAGTGTAAAGTGTAAAGTGTGAAGTGTCAAGTGGGGTGTGAAGTGTGGAGTGTGACGTGTGAATTGTGAAGTGCGGGGTGTGGAGTGTGAAGTGTGAAGCGCGAAGTGTGGAGTGTGAAGTGTGAAGTGCGGAGAGAAGAGTGTGAAGTGTGAAGTGTGGAGTGTGAAGTGTGAAGTGTGGAGTGTGGAGTATGAAGTGTGAAGTGTGGAGTGGAGAGTGGAGAGTGGAGAGTGGAGAGTGGAGAGTGGAGAGTGGAGAGTGGAGAGTGGAGAGTGGAGAGTGGAGAGTGGACAGTGGACAGTGGAGAGTGGAGAGTGGAGAGTGGAGAGTGGAGAGTGGAGAGTGGCGAGTGGCGAGTGGAGAGTGGAGAGTGGAGAGTGGAGAGTGGAGAGTGTGAAGTGTGACGTGTGGAGTGTGGAGTGCGGAGTGTAAAGTGTAAAGTGTGAAGTGTGAAGTGTGAAGTGTCAAGTGGGGTGTGAAGTGTGGAGTGTGACGTGTGAATTGTGAAGTGCGGGGTGTGGAGTGTGAAGTGCGAAGTGTGGAGTGTGAAGTGTGAAGTGCGGGGTGTGGAGTGTGAAGTGCGAAGTGTGGAGTGTGAAGTGTGAAGTGCGGAGAGAAGAGTGTGAAGTGTGAAGTGTGAAGTGGAGAGTGGAGAGTGGAGAGTGGAGAGTGGAGAGTGGAGAGTGGAGAGTGGAGAGTGGAGAGTGGAGAGTGGAGAGTGGAGAGTGGAGAGTGGAGAGTGGAGAGTGGAGAGTGGAGAGTGGAGAGTGGAGAGTGGAGAGTGGAGAGTGGAGAGTGGCGAGTGGCGAGTGGCGAGTGGAGAGTGGAGAGTGGAGAGTGGAGAGTGTGAAGTGTGGAGTGTGGAGTGCGGAGTGTGAAGTGTGGCGTGTGAAGTGCAGAGTGTGAAGTGTGAAGTGTGAAGTGTGAAGTGTGCAGTGTGCAGTGTGCAGTGTGCAGTGTGCAGTGTGCAGTGCGAAGTGTGGAGTGTGGAGTGTGGAGTGCGGGGTGTGAAGTGTGACATGTGCAGTGTGAAGTGTGAAGTGTGAAGTGAAGTGAAGTAAAGTGAAGTGAAGTCAAGTGAACTGAAGTGAAGTGAAGTGAAGTGAAGTGTCGAGTGGTCGAGTGCTCGAGTGGTCGAGTGGTCGAGTGGTGGAGTGGTGGAGTGCGAAGTGGAGAGTGTCAAGTGTGGACTGTGAAGTGTGGACTGTGAAGTGTGGACTGTGAAGTGTGGACCTGGAAGTGTGGAGTGGAGAGTGTGAAGTGTGGAGTGTGGAATGTGGAGTGGAGAGTGTGAAGTGTGAAGTGTGGAGTGTGATGTGGGAAGTGTGAAGTGTGGAGTGTGCAGTGTGAAGTGCGGAGTGTGGAGTGTGAAGTGTGAAGTGTGGAGCGCGGAGTTCAGTGTGTAGTGTCAGGTGCGCAGTGTGAAGTGTGGAGTTTGAAGTCAAGTCTGAAGTGTGAAGTGTGAAGCGTGAAGTGTGGCGTGTGAAGTGGAGGGTGCAGCCTGAAGTCTGGAGTGTGAAGTGTGGAGTGTAAGTGTGGAGTGTGCAGTGTGAAGTGCGGAGTGTGAAGTGTGAAGTGTGGAGCGTGAAGTGAAGTGAAGTGTGAAGTGTGTAGTGTGTAGTGTGTAGTTTGTAGAGTGTAGTTTGTTGTGTGTAGTGTGTAGTGTGTAGTGTGTAGTGTGTAGTGTGTAGTGTGTAGTGTGTAGTGACAGGTGTGCAGTGTGAAGTGTGAAGTGTGAAGTGTGGAGTTTGAAGTTTGAAGTTTGAAGTTTGAAGTTTGGAGTTCGAAGTTCGAAGTGAAGTGTGAAGTGGGAAGTGTGAAGTGTGAAGTGTGAAGAATGAAGTGTGAAGTGTGAAGTGTGAAGTGTGAAGTGTCAAGTGTGAAGTGTCAAGTGTGGAGTGGAGAGTGGAGAGTGGAGAGTGGAGAGTGGAGAGTGGAGAGTGTGAAGTGTGGAGTGCGGAGTGTGAAGTGTGAAGTGCGAGATGGAGAGTGGAGAGTGGAGAGTGGAGAGTGGAGAGTGGAGGGTGGAGAGTGGAGAGTGTGAAGTGTGGAGTGTGAAGTGTGAAGTGTGGAGTTTGGAGTGTGAAGTGTGATATGTCAAGTGTGGAGTGTGGAGTGTGGAGTGCAGGGTGTGAAGTGTGAACTGCGAAGTGCCAAGTGCCAAGTGTGAAGTGTGAAGTGGAGACTGTGACGTGTGAAGTTAGAGTGTGAAGTTAGAGTGTGAAGTGTGAAGTGTGAAGTGTGAAGTGCGGAGTGTGGAGTGTGGAGTGTGGAGTGCAGGGTGTGAAGTGTGAAGTGTGAAGTGTAAAGTGTGAAGTGTGAAGTGTGGAGGGGAGAGTGGAAAGTGTGAAGTGTGGAGTGGAGAGTGGAGAGTCGAGATTGGAGAGTGTGAAGTGTGGAGTGTGGAGTGTGAAGTGTGAAGTGTGGAGTGTGGCGTGTGAAGTGCGGAGTGTGAAGTGTGACGTGTGAAGTGTGACGTGTGAAGTGTGAAGTGTGCAGTGTCAGGTGTGCAGTGCGAAGTGTGGAGTGTGAAGTGTGGAGTGTGGAGTGTGGAGTGTGGAGTGTGAAGTGTGAAGTGTGAAGTGTGGAGTGTGGAGTGTGGAGTGTGGGGTGTGGAGTGTGGAGTGTAGGGTGTGCAGTGTGAAGTGCGAAGTGTGAAGTGTGAAGTGTGAAGTGTGAAGTGCAGTGTAGTATTGGGAAGTACTTTGTGCAAGCTTTGTAGTACAAAGTAGTACTGGGAAGTGCCTTGTGCAAGCTTTGCAGTACAAAGTAGTACTGGGAGGTACTTTGTGCAAGCATTGTAGTACAAAGTAGTACTGGAAAGTATTTTGTGCAAGCTTTGCAGGACAAAGTAGTCCTGAAAGGTATTTCGTGCACGGTTTGTAGTATAAAGTAGTACTGGGAAGTGCCTTGTGCAAGCTTTGTAGTACATAGTAGTGCTGGGAAGTGCCTTCTGCAAGCTTTGTAGTACAAAGAAGTACTGGGGAGTACTTTGTGCAAGCTTTGCAGTCGAAGTGTGAAGTGTAGAGTGTCAGGTGTGCAGTGTGAAGTGTGGAGTGCGGAGTCTAAAGCGAAGCGTGAAGTGTGGAGTGTGACATGCAGAGTGTGAAGTGTGGAGTGCGGAGCGTGGAGTGTGAATTGTGGAGTGTGGAGTGGGGAGTGTGAAGTGTGAAGTGTGAAGTGCAGAGTGTGGAGTGTGGAGTGTGAAGTGTGGAGTGGAGAGTGGAGTGTGATGTGGAAAGTGTGATGTGGAAAGTGTGATGTGGAAAGTGTGATGTGGAAAGTGTGATGTGGAAAGTGTGATGTGGAAAGTGTGATGTGGAAAGTGTGATGTGGAAAGTGTGGAGTGTTGAGTGTGGAGTGTGAAGTGTGGAGTGGAGAGTGTGTAGTGTGTAGTGTGTAGTGTGTAGTGTCAGCTGTGCAGTGCGAAGTGTGAAGTGTGGAGTTTGAAGTTCGAAGTTCGAAGTTCGAAGTGAAGTGTGGAGTGTGAAGTGGAGAGTGGAGAGTGCTAAGTGTGAAGTGTGAAGTGTGAAGTGTGAAGTGGAGTGCGAAGTGTGGAGTGTGGAGTGTGGAGTCTGAAGTCTGAAGTCTGAAGTCTGAAGTGTGTGGAGTGTGTGGAGTGTGTGGAGTGTGTGGAGCGTGTGGAGCGTGTGGAGCGTGTGGAGCGTGTGGAGCGTGTGGAGCGTGTGGAGCGTGTGGACTGTGGAGCTAGAGTGTGAAGTGTGGAGTGTGGAGTGTGAAGTGTGAAGTGTGGAGTGTGGAGTGTGAATTGTGGAGTGGAGAGTGTGGAGAGTGATGTGGGAAGTGTGGAGCGTTGAGTGTGAAGTGTGAAGCGCAGAGTGTGGAGTGTGGAGTGTGAAGTGTGGAGTGTGGAGTGTGGAGCTTGAAGTGTGGAGTGTGGAGTGTGAAGTGTAAAGTGTGCAGTGGAGAGTGTGAGGTGTCAAGTGTTGAGTGTGGAGTGTGAAGTGTATAGTGCGGAGTGTGAAGCGTGAAGTGTGAAGTGTGGAGTGGAAGGTGCAAAGTGTGAAATGAAGTGTGAAGTCTGGAGTATGGAGGGTGAAGTGTGAAGTGTAAAGCGCGAAGGGGAATGCGAAGTGTGGAGTGTGGAGTGTGAAGTCTGAAGTGTGTGGAGTGTGTGGAGTGTGTGGAGTGTGGAGCTAGAGTGTGAAGTGTGGAGTGTTGAGTTCGAAGTGTGGAGTGTGGAGTGTGAATTGTGCAGTGTGCAGTGTGGAGTGTGGAGTGTTGAGTGTGAAGTGTGGAGTGTGGAATGTGGAGTGCAATGTGTGAAGTGTGTAGTGTGGAGTGTGGAGTGTGATTTGTGGAGAGTTTAGTGTGGATTGTGGAGTCTGGAGTGCCAAGTAATACTGGGAAGTGCCTTGTGTAAGCTTTGTAGTACAAAGTAGTACTGGGAAGTGCCTTGCGCAAGGTTTGTAGTACAAAGTAGTACTGGGAATTACTCTATGCATCTCTATGCAAGATTTGCAGTATAATGTATTACTGTGAGGCTATGTGTGGACGCTTTGTAGTACAAAGTAGTTTTGCGAGGTGTTCCAGATGTGTCAAGCAAGAGTGTCCAACGAGAGTGTCCTACAACAGTGTTTCAGAGTATTGAGAGAGTGTTTTAGCAGAGTGTGCCACAAGAGTGTCGAGCAAGAGTGTCGTCCCATAAAAGTGTCCCACAAGAGTATGCCACAAGAGTGTCAAGCAAGAGTGTTCTTCAAGAGTGGTTTTTAATGCGATCGAGCATCTCCTGTTCGCTTTTCATTGTTCTGTAGGAACCCTTCTTGAAAAAATGCATTCGGGTTCGTGGCTTCTATCAGGTTTGGGCTTGGAGATCACATCTCTTGCCATTGTCACATGATGTTCTCCAGCCATGAATCCCCATACACATCCACTTGAATATTACATGATATCACCATGTTTAGATGATTTTAAATGATCTTTACATGATTTCCCAAATATTTTCCCCATAGAAATCGCCATTCCCCAGCCTCTGCACTGCTGCCTCCTTTCCCCAGTCCCGGTTTCGGGGCGGCGGCACCACCCGCGGGGAGGCAGGCACCGCCACCCGCGGGGAGGCAGGCACCGCCACCCGCGGGGTGGCTGGCACCGGCGTGACGCCACGGGGGGTCTGCGAATCCTGCACGAGTTGAGCCAAGTTTCCCAAAAACCCAGAAGGTTTCAGTGAGTCATGGCCCAATGGCTGGTTTTTTGGTGAAATTGAATGGGAAAATTTCAAAACGGTGAAATCTGGACTTCATGAGTTTGGGCTAGTTTATAGTGTATGAAGATACAAAATGGTTTTCGTGTCAATTCTCGGGTCCACCAATCCATTAAAGTTTAATCAAGCTGTAGACTGGGCGTTTGGGCGTAAACTTACAGCCAGTAACACCACCCAGCTCGAGATCTTGCAAGAGCATAAGAGACTTGATTCTCTCACTTTCTGCAGTGCCAGGATGTTCATAGATTGGCATGCCCTCAAACTTGGGGTACCAATGGTCCCACAAAATTGATGATTATATACAGTTTTGACCCATCCCGTGCCTGCCTCGTGCCAAGCTGGAAGACCTTTCTGTTCGTAAGGCTTGGAGTCGTACTCCTGGCCGCTGGACTCGAACAGCTTTGTTCCGAGCCGCGGTTCAGCACCCCGGCCTTCCAGAAAAGAAGCGTCTCCCCAAACTCCGGAGCCCGCGGCTTTTCCCTGAAGGGGGCAGGAAGTACGTGTCAAAAGAGCAAGGCATGGGTGGCCAGAAGCTGAAACTAAAGATCTGCAGTGTTCACTGGGAAATCCTAGGATCTGCAACATTGCTGAAAAATCCATGGAGTCCAAAGTGCCAGAAACTTTGGCCCCTCACGGTTGCTCCAACGTTTGCTGTCGTTGTAGCGCGGCAACGCTGGACTTGTTCTCCGGAGGCCTCTCAACCAGCTCCAAGTGCACCTCACCTACCTTTCGCCAAGCCTGTCTCCTGTGCTGAAGACTCAAAGTGGTACAGCAGTTTCCTGCCTGGACTTTCGCGGGCGAGCTTTGGGTTGTGGAGGTGGAGGCGGTTCATATAACGCCTTTAGGAAACAGAACCCACACTGGCTCTTGACTCTTCACAAGTCAGGGTTGAGATGCACCTTCTTTGGAGGTGAATTGACTGCACAAGAAAAACATAAATTTCTCATCAAAATGATTTCCCAGCCTCTTTTAAAGCACTGATGGCTTCATCTAGCGTCTGCGTGTCCTCCTGCACCAAGATAGAATCGACTGTCAAGGAGCCTTGCTACATTTTGGTCCAGTTGTTCAATTCGGAGTTCCGATCCACCCAAGGCAGGCTCGCCTGAATGGTACGCTTGTCCACAGCTGGCGCCTGTACTGAAAGTACTTCTCATGATTTCAGTCGAGGACGCCGGTGATCAACTCGCTTCTTTTTTGTCCAGCCTGTCTCGTCTTTGGGATTGGCGGATTCAGCCGCGGTTCCTTCTGGCGCTCTGCGCGTAAAGGCCAAACCTGGCCGTGCTGTGGAATCCTGTGTGCGTGGAATGTGGGAGCCGCAGCCCTGCGATTCAAACACAAAGTATCACAAGGTGACGATTCAGCAAAATCAACAATAGCTGAAATCCACCAATTATAGTTGATTTTCCCATTGACACCTCCATTTATAGTAGGGGATATGTTTAATGATTGTCTCTTGAAAAGTGGGTCCTGGTTCCACAGCACATTCCTCTTCATCCCTGGATCCTGGTTTCTGCTGTGTTTCTGCCAAGGCACCCAAGACTCATCTGGAGCCTGCGCAAGCTTCCTAAATCATTTTACTTGTATGACTTAAGTAAATAAATAAATAATAAATAAATAAATAAATAAATAAATAAAGTGTGTATATATATACAATATACTGATTAATAAATGTATGTATATCTATGTTTTTGGGATGGAGAGAGAGAGAGAGAGAGAGCAAAATCTGAACAGAAAGTGAGACCTCACGAGAGGAAGACCATCTTGGCTGAAGGAAGACTGTTTCCCAAAAACGGCAAACAGTCTGAGCTATGGGTCAGCGTTGCTAGGCCGGGCATGCTACTCAGCACTGAGCATTGAATCTTGTTGCAGCACAACGACTGATTCAACAAACACCACCTTGCACTACTACAAGCTATCCAGGCTATCCAGGTTTGCATGCAAAAAATCTCATGGACTATCATGAAATTCCCATCAAAATTGCAGATTTGGGGTACACTTAAAACTTTTAACCGGACAAACCATTGATGTGCAATCTTATGCAATGTTCAACAACCCTCAAGACAGCCAGATCGTACGGCTCAGCGGCTTTCCAACCTGCTGTGTAGCAGAGTGGGAGGACACCATACATTGCGCGGTGATGCAGCACAGCCAAAGTTCTATCTGTGAAGTCGAGGGAGTCCCCAAAATGTCTGGCAAGAGGATTGTTCCTGGGAGGTTTCACTGTTTCATGTGGGGTTTTTGCCGGTGTTTTGTGGGTACAAGGCACACAACATAGGGGGGTGCAGGTTGGACCCACCTTGGGCGCACGGAATTCATGTCCAAAGCTTGAGGTCCACAGATTCCAGCAGTCTCTGGGTACATCTATTTTGTGATGAAAATCCCAATGTATACGTAGCCACAAAGACGGTGACACTGACACTGTTTGCCACTTTTTGCCATAAGGCGGCAAGCGGACAGACTTCTATACAGTTTCAGAGTTGTCTCTTCGGAGCAAGCCCCCGTCAAGACAGATCAGTTCTTTGACCTCAGCATTGCTGCTGCTCAACTCCCAGCCAAGTCCAAAATGATTCAATCTTTTGAGGACTTCTTGATACCTTCTGGCTACATCAAGCTACATCAAGTGACATCAAGTTGCATCAACCAAAAAAAAAAGCAGCCCACAGCAAAGGAAAAAAAAAGTCCAGCGCTGGGCTGTGAACTTGTTGAAGCCGCTCCATGCGAGCCTGGGAATCCTGGCGCCTTGGATCAGCGGGAATAGCCACAGGCTTAGAGGGAAAAAGAATGAAAAAAGCTTTCAATGGGAATTGGTGCTACCCTGTTAACAACCCCAGTTTTTGAATATTTTTGATCTCAAGAAAAATGTTCTTGTTGAGTGCCAACTGGATCTAAGACTGCCGCCTCTCAACGACATTTTCCAGAGCTCGTCGCGCCTGAACAGTTATTGTCTGCTCTACTCATATGGAGGCTTCCGCCGGAATCATCAGTACTCACTCTGAGTCATGACTTTCTCCAAAACAGGCACATTAAAGGGGGTAGACACCCCATTTCATGGCAATTCTGTTAGAGGGTTCATGATTATCATCCAGGTGAATTGCTTGGACTCAGAATCCCCGCGTTTCATGCCTTGAGGAGCTCAGTGCGCTGACGGCTCATAATTTTCAGAGCATCCTGAGCATCACCTGGCAGCCAGTTTTTGTGATTGCCAGGTTTTTTCGACCCACTGGTGAATCTGGAAAAAACCACAATGGAAATCCCCATGTTCATTACAGTAAGTTTTTACGATTTTAGAATGGGAAAATGCTCTGTAAATGCTTCACGTGCTGGATGTGTCCATTGCCAAGTCAAAAATTACCTGAGGGTATGCTGCGAGAAACTGCAAGACATGCTTACTTCTGGATCTCATGTATCCTGTTCAGCCAGCCTTGTTGCTTCAAATTTAAAGCCTAAGTCGAGAGAGCTGAGGTATGTGTGCATGGAACCATAACTGGGCAGCTGATCATTTCTAGTTTCGAACCATCCCACTTTCGATTGTGTTGAGCTGCAAACATGATGCTTTTCGTGAACAGAAAAAAGACACAAAATTTGACTGAGCCTGCTCTTTCGTTGGGGAAAAGTTGGCAACCGCATCCTGCCACGTGCTGGACACGGTAGTTTTGCGCTGACTGATCACTGTGCTACCGAACAGGGCGGCCACCAGGGGATTTGTTTAGCGACACATAAACCCAATGGTGAAACTCAAGAGATTTCGTGATGCGCAAGTCACAACAAAAAACGACCTCTGGGGTAACAAAGTGTTCCCTTAACCAACATCTCTGCTTTTGCTTTGGCCCCTGCCTCTGCCTCCTTAGAAGGCCTGGGCAAACAGCGACCTTTCACCACCTTAGCCTGAGAACCCAACCTGCTAATGCCAGTTGCGCATCTGATTCGCCACTTCCCAGGAGCCGTTCTCTTCTACACATCCCAAGGTTCAAAGGAAACACAAGGAAACCATTCCTTTACAACACTCTGCACAAAAAGAACACCCAAGAAAAATCTGAAGGTTGTAGTCCATAAGCAACCCAAGTACTGAATTGTGCAATTGTTGCCATAGTACCAAATAATGCAAAGGACCCTAGGATTTTCATGTTTTTTTGCAAATCCCTAAAACATCACATCGTTGCAGCTTTGTATCTTTTGCTAGCACCATGTTAAAATCACTAAGGTTTACATTTAAAAGATAAAGAAAGACAAAGAGGAATGGAAGGAAGAAAAAAAAACAAGAAAAAAGTTTGTCCAGCATCAAACCGAACCTGCTGTTCGACATCAAAGGCAGAGTTGCTCTCATCTCCTGTCCAAACAGACCACAACAGAAACTATCCGCATTGTAAACATTGTAAACGAATATCCTCTGATTTGCTGGTGAATACCCCCATATGTGGTGATTAAAATCCCATTGGATCCAGATTTGGTTTTCTTGGTTTTGCGTCAGAACTAGGCACCTGCTTCGCTTTCTCCATCTGCCCCGTGCGAATCATTAGTCGCAGGCGCTCCTTCCCAAATTGTGTGTGAACCAAGCGGCCAAACCCTGTTTCTGATTTGGCCGTCCCCGGTGAGAACACACATTGGCAATTGCAACACGGAAACGAGGAACAAAAGATTGTCAAAAGAAATTTAACTAGAAAACTTCCGAGTTATGGACGATCGTCATGGTTAGCATTCCCAGCATCATGTCAACCACATCATCATGTCAACCACTTGGGACGTGTAACAGTTCGGAAGCGCGTGCATTCACGGGTGAAAAACACTCTCGGGTGCGAAACCCAGCGTTTTTTGGGTAAAATGGCTCCTGGAATCGCCAGAGTAGTTTGTTTCCGCGGTTCCGAGCCTCGCTCTGGGGCAGTTGTCGACAAAAAGTGCACAGGGCTGTAGCGAGAGCTTGATTTGCACTTCAAAATGTGAAAAAAATTCACGAAGCCGGAACACTTTTGGAAGATGAGGTGGGCAAAATGTGCACCAGACTGTAGCGAGAGCTCGATTTCATATAAAAGTCACAAAAAAAAAAATCGGCGTAGCGCAGAATCGTCCCCATTGCCGGGGCTGCGCGAACGTTGGTCGATTTGGTGTGACGCTCCTGCTATGCGGGGTTGCAACCGGCTGTGACAAAACGCATTGGCACGGCTGCACGTAGCAAAGCATGAGCGATACTGCGACGCTCCTGGCAAGCGGGATTGCAGCTGGAGTTCGCTAAACGCATTGTAACAGCTGCGCAAAAAGTATCTCTTGACCATAGTGCTACTGGCCCTATTGATTCACTGAGTCATTGCTGATTCATTCGTTCATCCACTCATTACTCTACTCACTACTTCATTCATTCATTGGTTCACTGATTCCTTGATTCATTGATTCATCGACTCTCTAAATCATTCATGCGTTGACTCATTGTTTCATTTTTTCACTGCATCATCAGTTGCTTGATTCATTGATTCATTGATTGATTCATTGATTGATTCATTGATTCATTGATTGATTGATTGATTGATTGACTGATTGATTGATTGATTGATTGGTTGATTGATTCATTCATTCAATCATTCATTCAAAAATTCATTCGTTCATTCATGCATTCATTCCATTTCATTCATTCGTTCGTTCCTTCGTTCATTCATTCATTTCATTTCATTTCATTTCATTTCATTTCATTTCATCCATTCATTCACTGATTTGTTGGTTCATTGGTTCAATGATTCACTGAATCATTGATTCATTGATTCATCGATTCATTGGGTCACTGGTTGATTGATTCATTGAGACATTGCTTCATTGATTCATTGATTCATTGGCTGGCTGATTCATTGATTCATTGGTTCATAGAGTCATCGGCTCATAGGTTCATTCACTTTGTTGTGCACGGATTCTTTCATGTCATTTCATTGGCATCTCAGCAACCACTTGCTCATCCGTTGATGCACACCTCACAACTTCAACACTTCATTGATTCTGCATCGCAAAAACTTCCCTATAGGCCATTGATTTCCTATAGCCATGTCCTATCTCGAAACTTCCGCCCCAGCACGGGCCGGGCACTACCTGCTATAGGTTCTATGATATATAAAATAATCAAAATCTCAGACCCCATCTGATTTTAGAAAAAGCCCGGGGAGTAAAAGACAACATAACGGGTCCTTACTGCGCAGCTGCACCTCTACTTGTAGCGCTGCAGCAGCCTCCCTGCCATTGGCTCGTGGCTGCAAGGCTTTCCTGCGAGTGCTGCATGACTTGGGTCACGGCAGCTGCATCCATAAACAGAAAATCCCCATCGAAACAAAGAAATCATCTGGGTGCAAAATAGGTATTTTTCAGATTAGTCCCATACCGTAATATTAAATCCTGCCAACAAGTGGGACCCCGAGTCATGAATAGACCCAATACATTCCACCATGGCTTCGACTGGGGGGTATTCAATATATGAACTGGGCATAACTGGGGAAGGATTATATACTTAAACGAAAATGACATTTTTGGAGGACCACCTAAGGTCTTTTGAGGAAGACCTTCCAAATCTTCGACCTTAGACCCTCCCCGGTCCTTTGCACAGCTGCTTCCGTAGCCCAAGTTCGGGTTGGAGAAGTGCGCACTTGCGGGAGCACCAAGGATGACGGCTCCTCTCACAACATGGCTTTCTGAAAGTGTGCGGGAGCACTTCCCAAAAACCCACTAGTTTGAAACCTCACTTTCCCCATGTGTTCATGATTGTTTCATGTTGAACCAGGTTTTCAGACACAGTCACACCACAACCATGGCAGTCGAGGAACGGACAAAATAAAGGTGATGACAAGCTGATCAAGCTGTACACCCGCAGGCAAATTAGAGAAAAGGCCAAAAACCAGGAGCTGCCAGCCCCTCCTCGTGCCAGGCAGGTTGTCCTTTCTCCTTTTTTGCCATGGAATTGTACTCCTTCCAGAAGTGAAAAGCGGACTGCCAGTCTTCCCACCTGAAAGAGCCAGGCTTGTGGACTCACAGCCCTTAGCATACCGACTTGTCTATGCACATCAAAATCAAAACCTATCAATGTACACGTACATATACATATGCATATGCGTATACATATATACGTATACGTATACGTATACGGTATACCTATTCATATACATATACACATACACATACAAATATACATATACATTTACACATACAGATACAGATTTACATATACACATACACATATACATACACATACATACCCATACATATATACCAATACATACCCATACATCTCCGTACATATCCATACATACATATACATACAAATGAATACATATGAATGCATATGACAACTGATTATGAAATATCATATATATATATGTATGTATGATTTATGTAATAATGTAGTATATACAATGCAATACAAATGCAATGCAAAGCAAAGCAGTGCAATGCAATGTATGTATATATATATTACACACTATACAGTGTATCAATGTATATGGTATATATGGTATTATATAGCACGCATACATGGTAAGCTGAACGACAGAAGTCGCGTCAAGTTGCTCTGCATCTGACGCTGGATCGTTCTCACCGCATGGCTCCGCCTTGGCCGAGGAGTCCCTGATGAAGACCAGCAAGTGTTGGTTGCTACTCGTTGCTACTCGTTGCTACTCGTTGCTACTCGTTGCTACTCGTTGCTACACCATGGTGTTTAGGCCATCTTGGATCAAGCAAAACATGCAAAACCGCAAAATACAGGCAGAGAGTCAGCTTCAAGCGGTAGCTGCGATAGCTACCTGACGCCTGAAATGGAAATCAATTTGTCTCCCACCCTGCCTTCGGCGATTCATGGGTATTTTGATGAGGTTCCCCCGCCTGAAGAGAAGTCAATTGACACGAAAGAACCAAAATTATGGATCAACGATCATTGCTCACGCAATATTTCCCAATTTATTTGCCACTTCGAAGGTTCAACAATGGCTACTAAACCCCTCTTCGGTCATAAGTTCCCACTTTTTGGGGGGGTTGTACTGTTATACAAGGTATACCACCGTTTATTTATTTATATATATATATACATACATATATATCTATATATATGTATACACACTATATACAGCATACACATAATGAATCATCATCCATTGGAACGATGGAAAACAGTCTCCGCCTTCACGAAGGCCTCATGCCATCGTCTCCTGGACGCTTTGGCCTAGCGTCGTTCATCTCAACTGGGCCCAAACATGCTTGGTATACCCCAATGTATGGCCGGTTCCATGGCACAATGTGCAGAAAATTGTCAGAGAAAACCCAACTGGGAATACGCCCTCTCCTTTCCAGACCATGTACTACACTCCTTGACCCCATGTGCTTGAAGAAAGAATGGAATGTCTACCCTTGTAAACATCAACCAAATTGAAAAAAAACGCGCAAGCAGTCTTTCTCTTTGTTCATGGTCAGTTGAACATTGCCCAACCATTGCGGGTGTGATATCCCAAGGACCGCTTGTACCACTTCATGTCTTTAACAATCCCCAATTGGACATTTACTACCCCTTCCCCCTCTGAACAACCGTCGTTGTGAATTTCAATCCCATCAAAACGCTGGTTAGACCTATGAAGCTTATTATATAAAAACATACGAAACCCCAATTAAGAAAATACAGTGAAGCCTGACCAATCCTCCAAAAATTTCTGAGCAGCGGACATCTCGGACTTCCACGTGCATAATCTGCGAGCTGGGGCTGCTTTTCTGCACCTTGGCCTCCAAAAAAAAATCAACCCCAGATTAGTACTCCTGGTAGATTAATGAAGAGGTTGTATAGCCTAGGAGCCACGGACCGGATAAAATTTGGGTTGACATCTGGAATCTGTTGCGGTTTGCTGGAACAGGTCGTTGGACTTTCTGCACATGATTGCCTATGCCTATGCACACTCGCAAATGAAGGATTGTTTTTTCATTAGCTTTAATGAAAACCCCAAAGCCAGAATCTGTGCAAACTGCATGGCTGTCCATTGATCAAAAAATGAAGTGCAGGGAATGGCAAGGCTGAGCTTCAGCTTCAACCATCAAGTGAAACTGCACCGAAACTCCCGTCCTTTGGTACAACACTTTCAAGGTTTGGTTCCTTCTGGCGCTCTGCCCGCAAGGACAAGGCCTCGCAGCGAATGAAGCTCAAATCCAAAAGATGTGTTTCCTGTTCCCATCCCAGAGATCTGGGTAACTCAATTTTTCGCAACCCCTACTTTCCCAATTGGTCTGTCTCTGGCATGTGTTGGGAAATGGTGACAATGAATGCAGAGAGACGTGCTCGCATGGAAAGCGGGGCTGAACACCGGCAGGTTGCATGTTTTTAAAAGGTTTCATCGTTTGACCCTGGCGAGCACAAAATTTGCTGCCTATCCAAAAAAGTGTGCATTCATCGAAGCACATGTGAATGCATGATTGCATCGCAACAAGAGACATGATACAAATGGCTACAATCCGAATTTGTATGCTGAGTCATCTGCCCAGGATCGGCTCGCAACCTACCCCAAGGTCAAGCAACTTTCCAGTTCTTAAAGGCAGGTGATAAACGAATCATTGAAGAAAGGCCGCCTTCCAAGGAGCATTGAAGCGCGCAGATGCCCCAAAGATTGTGGCCATGGGATCATGTGCTGCTGTTTTTTAACTGCTGTTTGACTGATCTGTTGGGCTGGGCTACAGGGATCTCACCTATCTCTAGGTGTCAAAATTTACATGTCAGTTTGCGCTGTCCAGGTCTGATTGGTCATGAGGCCAGAACATTTCAATCTTCAGGCCTCTGACCAGGTCCCCACAGGGGCAGTTCCGTCTACCTCATCTATCCATCGATCTATTTATCTACTGTATGGCATATATTAAGGCGTAGATATGGAACTTGGTAGACTATGGACCATAGCCGATCCGGTGTTTGCACCCCAGCATGACGGGGAGGATAGGATGTATATGTATCACCAACACTTCAAGCCAGCAGGTAGCGAAAAGTCACAAGTCCAACAAGCCGAACGGCCCAAAAAACGAAAGGCATCAGCTCACAGCGAATAAACAATTCCCACAACCCCCAGTATTTGGTCGGCACATGCGGGCGAGTCAAAGCCCTTTTTGGACCATGGTCTCAGGCATCAAGGAACCGCCTCAGAGCGCGGTTTCGAACCCAACAGACGCACGATAGACTTTTTTGTGGCACTTCAATGGATCCAATAGCGATTTTCGGAAAATGATGCCCCAATATTTCAGATAGCCAGGGATACCTGGGCCTCCAAAATTTTCCAAGATGCAGTGTGCGAGGCATTTGCGGCCGCGTCTTTGCCCTCTATGAGCCTGGGCACAGCATCCCAGAGCGCCAAGACCTTGGAGGGTGCCATGAGGTGCGTCCACTCTTGTCCCCGAAACTTACCTTTGCTTTTGTACATGTTTATCACATGATAGGGTCCGAAGAGGCTACCATATGTATATACATATACATATTTAATATTTATATATATATAAACGGATCAAGGGAACTGCTCAGCGGTACCTCACCAAGGCAAGATAGGTGGAACCATATCCCGCACAAAACCTTGGCGGGCTAGCTCCTCTGGGCTTCAATCTCCTAGCCCAGTCTCCTCCGGCTCCTCTTCTTGTACGGGCCTTCTTGCCCGAGCTATCTCAGTAGCAACACGCCTTACTGCCTTCGCCAAGCTATGAATCGCAGCAGCCACAGCCTCAAGGCCGCTCATGCACGTATGCCCTTAGGCAATCCAGCTGGTGTGCCCTACTTGGGAAAGAGGGTCTTTGGCAAGGGGCAGGTGAGGTATGGCAGAGGAAGGCCCAGTAAGTCCAGAGGGCAAGAGAAAATCCGATGACAATGCCACCCAGGAACCCAGACAGGAAGACGGGAAGCACTGATGGATGGCAGTGAGCAGGGCAGGAGAAGGTCCAGGTGAAGGAAGAGAGCACCCCGGCAGCCTCAAGCAGCAAAGCAGCACCCCACATTGACCTTGAGAGTGAAACGGTTGCCATCACAGTTGTAGTCATATATGAACTGCCATGAAAATATTGTATTTTAATTAATGTCATATCCCAGGGGGGAACCATAATCTATACATGTCGATATATAGATTGCTTTTAAGAGAAATTCCAACAAGCGTTTGCAAACTCGTGAATACGAGAGGAGTTCTGGATTCAAGATTCAAGATTCAAAGTCTGGAAAGGAGTTCTTGAATCCAGAATTCCAAACGCTTGTTCTGGAATATCTCTGAAGTACAAAGCTATATCCTGGCAGCTAAAGGTATGTAGAATGGTCTTTGAAACGTATATCATAAGTGTATTAGATGGCCTTTAAAGGCTATATTACATAACGGTATATTGAGGATGTTTTTAAAATCGACAACTTGTATACTGAAGGCACATCATTAAAATGCCAAGAAAGGTAGCAAAGGTATACTAAAGGTAAATTGAAAATGTTGCATGTAAAACGATATGTTAAAGGTATACTTAAGGTATCTTCAATGGTATGCTAAAGGTGTATTAAAGGTATGGTACAGGAAAAACCAAGATATAGTAAACTGTAAATTAAGGTATATCATATATCGCTTGTTCATTGCAGAAATATTAACTGGTATATCGAATGCATTTTAAAGTTATATGGGAGGTAACTTTCAGTTATTTTCAGCAAAGGCATGTAATATTAGACGGTATCTGACGGTATATGAAATGGTATATTAAAGGTGTATGAAACGGTAAATAATGTGCATATATACATATATATGTATATATACGTATATGTTCCGGGTATACTAAAAATATATTATGGTATATTAAATGGTATATTGAACAGTGTATTAGAAGGGATATTGAAGGTACATTAAAGGGTATATTCAAGGTGTATTACAGGTCTTTTGAACGGTGTATTAAACGCATTTCGAAGGTATATTGAAGGTATACTACAGGTATACTACAGGTATATGCAAGATATAGTCATGTCGTATTAAATGGAAAATAAAAGTATATTATATCAAATGGTATGACAAAAGCATCAGAGGTACAATACAGGTATATTCAAGATACTCATGCTATATTAAATGGTATGCCAAAGGTCTATTGAATTGTATATTAAAGGTGAGCATTCAAGATATTGAATTTATGCTAAAAGTACACACAGCATATGAAATGGTACATACGAAATGGTACGTATCTTAATTAAATCTCAAATGGAATGTTCATGGTCAAAGGAAGTTGGGAAGCAGTCTCCCGAGTTACGGACAAATACATTTGTGCTTAGGGAAGTGATTGGGTTGACTTCGGGAAGCGATGACTTTGAGAAGTGGTGACTTGGAGAAGTGGTGACTTTGTGAAGTGGTGGACTCAGTGAAGTTGTGGCTTCGTGAAGTGGGTTGACTTAGGGAGGTTTTGACTTAGGAAAGTGATGACTTAGAGAAGTGGTGACTTTGTAATGGCTGCATGAATGTTGCATTGGACTTTTGTTGGGAAGGATGCCGGAGCACGAATCATTGCGTCTTTCTGTGAAAAGTGGTTGCAGCTGGCGGTGATGTGTAGCTTCTTTGTGCAACGGTAGCACTTACAGCTGCACAAATTTCGCGGCCGCGGGACGGCCTGAGTTCGGCCTTTTTGGGCTGGCACCCTCTTTTTGCCCGTGCTTTTTCCTTTGCCTTCTTTTCGCCTGTCCAAGCTTTTACCCCTCTTTTTCCGGTCGCTTTTCATTCGACTGCGGTAAGGGTAGCCAAGCTGGTCCAACTTGTTTCACACTTTCCAACTGAGACGGCAGTCCCAGAACACTGCCCATGTAGGACTGTTGTTGTTAGGAACTCCCAGGGGGGGTGGTGAGGGTGTGGTGTTCCGTGCTAATATACATATATGCATATATATATATACATAAATATATACATATACATACATATATATATATACACACATAAATATATACATATATATACATATATACATATATATATATACATAAATAAATACATATATATATATATACATATGTATATATACGTGTAAATATACATAATGAATATATAGTGTATATATATATGCGTAATTATGAGAGGAAATTGCCGTTTCGGAGGCAAGCCCCATGTTCAGACTTGCCCCAGCACGGATGTTTGGAGCAAATGCCATGACAAGAAAAATGATGCGACACCACCTGCCAGCTGTCAGTTTATCAGTTTATCACATGCAACTCTGGCTTGGCTCAGCACATGGGGTGAGCCACGCTTGCCGACCTGCACCGTGGCACTGCATTGGGGACATCTACAACTCTGTAAGTGTCTTGTGTGTCTTCCGGGACCTCCAGCATGGTGGCAGTGAAGTCAAACTTCTGTCCTGTTGGCGCGCAGTTTTTCATGGTCCCAACGTGTTCCAACGTGTTCCAACGCGTCCCACGGCGCAGCATGGCACTCCTCTTTTCACTTTTCGCATCGTGGACGACAGCTCCACATTATCTTTATATAGAAGCACCTTGGACCAGTTTCAAAACGCGAGGACCTGGATCAGCTCACTTTTGAAACGCCCTCAGGTTGTTGCCACATCTGCAGATTCTCGCTTCATGGGAAGCGGCTGAGGTGGCTCCATATCAACCTGAGGAAACACATCTGATTGAAAGATTTTGAAAGTTCCAGCTGGCAGCTCAAAGTCCTATTTTTGTCATATTTAGATGTGTTTACCAGTGAAGTTTCAACGAGCCATGGTGTGTAAGTTCAAGAAATAAAAGATACTAAGATACCCAAAACGGTGCCTTGGGAAAGAGTGTCAGTGATAGTGGCAGAGTGAATGAGTGGTTGAATGAGCAATTACATGAGGTGAGCGTGTGTTTGAGCAGTTGATCGGAGGGATCGAGTGACTGATCGTTTGAGCAGATCATCCTGCTGCTTCAGTGCAGAGGTAGTACATGGTGTCAAACAATGTTTCGAAACCAGCAAAGGATTGCTACGAATGCCCTGCAAATGCGATGTGTGTAAACTATAAACGGACCACAATCTACTGCAGGAAAAAAACACTACATCGTAGTAGAGAAGTACTGCAATGGTCACACGTGCTATGAGATACAGCAAACAGACTGCTGCGCAGCCCAGCCATGCTTCCAACTTTCTACAAACATTCTACGACATACGACAAGAAAGATTAATGCTGCAAACGTGTAACACTTCAAAATTTGCACGTCAGTAGAAACACTTGCAGCAGAGGATTCAAGGCCTCTTTGCTGCAGGTTGAAGAGCTCACAAGAGAATAATGCAAACTTCAAGAGCAAGAAAACCCTTTGACAAGTTTCCAACACTTTGGGCTTTAGAAAACTTAGTATGTTTTGAAATATGCTTCATCCATGCAGTGTGTCTTGCTGTCAATCTCTAGGAGCATGACGAAAACTGCAGTGGGCTGGGAGAAACCCAGAAAGCTGAATCCCTCTTCAATGCGGTGCAATTTGCCTCAGCAACACATCAGTGAGGTGTTTGACACGAAGCTCCCCATAGCTAACCGTCCATTTGTTCCCTTATGTTCCCCTTCCATCTTCCAAACTCCATGGATTCACTTCAGGAAGATCGAACTATGCTTCATCTCTTGGTGAGATGTTTCAGACCTTCTATGGCCATTCTATTAGCTTCAGCATGCTCCACTCAGCCTCTGGCCTTGCCAACTCAGGGTCTTGTTCTTGAACTTCTCATTAAAGGCAACCGTTACCTCGCGTTCTGTCCGTTCCGCATTGAAAAAAAAGGACTTGGCATCTTCGATATCAAGTGAGATCGCCCCAGGCACGTGGATGGGGTTCCCTAAGTAGGTCTTGTAGCCACAGTCCTTCAAGAAGTCCTCCCATCCTGGCATTGATGCTGATAGCTGTCCAAAAATGAGTTCATGACGATGGCTCACAACAAATGAAACGGAAGTTAGGCGGTAAACCATGGTCAAAACAGACTGAAAAGTGCTGCTGGCAAGTTGGCTCATTCACAGTATCTCATACGAATCTTGGAGAGGTAATGCGAGCTGAAGGGGCCAGACAATTCAGTCTTCGCTTGTTTTCTCATCGAAAAACATCCATCAAACTACATGAAACATGAATTCAAAGAAACCAAACAACATTCTATAGGCGTCTCTAAGGCTGGCCACTATCAATTACCTCTCTGTATCTTGCAATTCTTACCAGGTATCAAACTAATTTTGAATCCCAGAAGGATACAACAATAACAATACCACAAAGAATAAGTCCAGGAGTACGTAGGTCGGCCACTTCTGTTCGTTCCGCGGCATCGATTCCGGTGGCCTTGGCAGGGGTACCGTATGTAATATATAAATATGATTAAAAGTTACCCTCCGGTAATCAAACATGGCAATGGGAAATCCCCGACAAATGGGTATGTGAATCGGAAAAAAGTCTATAAATGATGGATTGTCCATTGCCATGTTTGATTACCAAAGGGTGTTCGTTATGAATATGGTTGTAAATAATAGTGATTATCATGAGTGACCATTACCATTAGTGACTAAATTAGTTACCGTTGGTGACCATTGAATATATATATACATACACGTACATATATATATATAATAGGAATCAATGACTACTGGTGTGGATATAGGATATCAAGATGGTTATGAAGGTTATGTTATGAACAGGGTTGTAGACATGGATGTTCATTTATACTACCCACCATAAGGATATCAATATAGATTACTTTCGCTTATGAGTATATAGTGTTTAAAAAAAGAAAAAAACATATTTTCCGTTCTCATCGGCATGTTTGTGAAATTTTAGTGTAAACTCCATGACAATGAACTATGTTTCCAGTGGTGTTTAATGGTGACTATCCTACATTTGGCTGTGCCTATCCAGTTAAGGGATGGTTTTAAAGACCCTCCAATTCCAATTTGGTAAAGGACGGGTCGATGGTGATGATGTTTCTTTATTAAAACATTGCTCAATATATTTCTGTACTGAAAATCAGGATGGAGCCTGCAGCTTAAGGGTAGAAACATCTTCTGGATCTGATGAAAATTCCATTTCAGTGCCGCAATCCATCCAACCAGGCAGTCTGGGAATCTGACTGGTGCACTTCCTCTCCTTTTTTCAGATGCTACCGCAAACAGCCAAAAAAAATATAGAGTGCAAAATGATTCAGTATGAAATTTGGATCTGGAAGAAAGCAACTAAAGGGCAGATGGGGTCTTCCCAAAAGGTCCGTTCTTCACGCAGGGTTTCGCTGGTTTGCCTGTCCTCACCCAATGGATGCTGCCGATGAGACACGTCATTGCAACCAGGGCGAAGACATACTGCAGCGGTCACGGTTGCAATCAACTGCTGCACCACAAGTTGCTGTTGGCATCGCAACGTTAGGAACGACAGACCAATGAGAATGGCATGGGAATGGCTCCTTCCGGGCAAGCACCATAGCGCAGCTACCAATGCGGAAGGACATCACCTGCATTTCTGGGTCGCAAATGTTGGAATGGCCGTGGGTGCTCTCGAATCGGGAGATGGTATGGGCTGCAGACAAACTGTTCCCAGAAATTTCCCAATGGAAATGATGCGCCTCATCGCTGAGTTTGGGTAGAAGCACTCTGGAGCGGGTCGACAGCACTCGCAGACACCGCGGGCAGTGATGCACCACATCCTGCCGTGTATCCGGTAGTTGTCTGAAAATGGGGTAATGTGGCAAACCTAATAATAAACCATCTCCAATAGAGGTTTATTATTGGGTACTGTATAGCCCTGTAAAATGACCCCAAATGGTTGGTTAATGGGATGGCTTATTATTGGGTTTACCACATCACCCTCCGATAATCAAACATAGCTACCGGGGAAATCTCACCAAAATTGGATGAAATTGGCATTTAATGGGAAAATAATCGAGACTAAATGAGGATTTTCCGTTGCCATTCTTGCCAGAGAGTACTCCCGATTCCATGGCATGATCATCATCCTTTGAAACGACAATTTTGCGATGTACCTCTTGTTGAGACCCAAATAAACTGAGAATGACAAATAATCTGCTTAGAGCTGCATAGAAGTTAAGACGGGATGAGCTTTTGGCATCAGAGTTCTTTCAATGCATGTGATCGCAGGCATCATTCGCCTTGAAGAGTGGATAGACCAATGGCACTATGCAAATCGCTGCCTGCCATAGCTTAAGCAAAGTTGTTGTTGCGGCAAAAAAAACATTTTGGACCACGACACTAGTTTTTGCTTTTGTATATTTGCACGGTTCCTGTGATGCACTTCAAAAGCAATCACCAAGACTGAAAAGCGACGTAGTAGGTTACCGCAAACACTAAAACGGGTAGAGTGGCCCAGTTCAGGACCAAAAACAAAACCTCGATCAGGCTGTGCGAGTGCGAAGGATCATTAATGTTCGGTTGTGAAAGAAATACATCGAATTCAAAACTGGGGCCCCCACGATACACACTGCCAAGGTAACCCAGCTACTTTCATGTTCAATGAAGGTAGTGATCTGAACACCTTGGAAACATGGTTCATGCACCAGTGTCAAAAATGGCATTTGGGTGTGTCTGAAAATGGCAATCAGGAAATTCGTGATAAAAACCATAGGCTGTTGGCTGTTGGGGGCGCCTTTTTTCAGACAAACCCATTTTGTTTTACGAGGCCCATGCGACAATGAGGACATGCCACCTTCACTGGCGTCTGGTCAAAGACAGGGTCATCATCAGCCTGGTTTCCACAGATCTAGATGTTTGAAGCAAAGAAAAAATGTTCATCAAATGGGTCTGTCTGAAAATGAGGTCTCCGAAATCCATGGTCCATGGGTCAATCATCATATTTCCCATTAAATGCTCCATTTCATCGGGGTATACCCAAAATTTCAGACAGACCAAATGTGCACCGTGAAAATGGGATGTCCCATTGCCGGGTCGGATCGGGAATCCCCGGAACGTGTCAAACCATGCCATGCCTCCTGGGTTGGAGCGTCGTCCTGTGAAATTTTTGATGGCAACATGCAACAAACTACCCCAGCACAGCAACTGTTTCACACACATCTGTGAGCAAGCGTTGGAACGGTGAGCACGCATTTCATCTATCATACCATCACAAAAAATGTTTTTTCAATTGGTTCGAAACATGCATGCCCATTATATAATAGTATTCATGACATGTATTATATGTACGTATTGTGGCCTCTACTCTTCCTGAACCCACGCAAAATGGCATCAACGTGCCTTTTTCTCTCGAGGAACAATGTACGACATGACAATCACGACCCAGGAGTCTTGTTTCCACGATTTTGCCCCAGTTTTCGTTGTGTTCAAACCTTCGAAGAAAAAACGTTGGTGTTAGTTTTTGAAATATCAAATTGGGGGTGAATGAATTTGGTGAAGCACCCCAACATGCAATTCTGTAATTTTTGTTGTTCCGCTGGAACACCGAGGGGTCTCAGCTGCAGCTTGAGCCAATAAGGGTTGGGTGAAGTAATGAAATGTTCATCCAGTTGTTTTGAACCGCACATGCATTTTGCAATTTCAAAAGTGCCTGTTTTAAAATCCATATGTATTTGAAAAAAAATATGGTCAAGACATCACGTGCGATCAATTTTTGTTGGCAAAGTGAACGAATATTGACGCATCGTCTTGCTGTACCAACATACCACTTTGTTCATCCAAAAAATGCAAATTGTTGGGTTTTTTTTGGCGAAAACTGGTTTATATACGTATTTGGTTGTCACATCACAACATGTTGTTCGACCATTTCCGCCAATGGGCACATGTTCCGACCGGTTTTGAAAACAAAATGCACATGATCCGGTGGCTCAACTATTACACAGTGACAGCATTCAAACCATTTGGAAATTTATTTTCCTGTGCACGAATAAAGCTCATTTTTTTGCAATTTGATTTGGTGCAGGCACGCGCTTGTTGCCAAACCGAACATCAATTTCAGTTGTTACTTGACAGTATGATGTTGGATCCATTGATCCACACGAAGTCTGCTATACTGTGTACAACGTTTGATATTCATATGTTGTTTTTTTTCCTTGAATCACAAGCGCCTTCAGATATGAACAGGTACCACACTGAGCAGCTATGCAACATGAGGTGCAACTCTACAGCTAAACTGGCATGTCTACAAGTCTGAAAATATGTTGCACCCCGCCTTGCCACCGGTTTCAGCACGGTGGCACACGTTTGAAAAGATCCAATGGAAATGTGCAGCCATATGGAGCCGCAGGGGCAGTGCTTATGCTGTTCCCTGCTTGCAATGTCTCTGTGGGACCAATCCATAAGCAGCTGTCACTAAGAGTGCGAAGCTGAACGGAAAACGCACAGCACTGTTTTGAGCCTCAGGGCCTGGATGATAGTGAAATGGTAAATGTGTTTGACAAGCATGAAATGAGACATGAGTGCTACTCAAATTTCTTCGCACTCCTCCTAAAATTGTAGAGTTTCAGCTCTAAATTTTCAACCAGCACCCAGCGTTTTCTCGCTGAGCACTCATCGAATTTCTTCATCCTCAAATTCCAGCAATCACCATACAGTGAAAAATTGCTCCATGCAAAACTTTGGGTTCACCTGTGACTCAACTGCTCCATGAACTCACCTATGTAAATTTCGTACACATCGGCCATCGTCGATTGGGAATGTCCCACAGATCTTTGGTGCCTGCTCTGCAATTCTGTGATCACATTCTCCAGCAACTGATTGAATCTCTTTAATCCAATTGGTCTGCCTGTCTCCAAATTCAAAGCCAGCATGATCAGCTGTTGGATCACAGCACCATCGCGGAATTCCTCTCTGGCCAATGCTTCATTGAGAAGCGCACGCAGTCGGTTCACCAGGTGTTCTCGGGTATTTACATCTCTGATCTCACTGTCCACCTCCATTGGAGTTTCTGATTCACCTCCTTCTTCATTTTCATCTGCATCTCTTCTGTCATCAGTGTTGTCTGTATGAGCATGAATCCCTGTAGTCTGTTGACAAGCAAGACGCAAATAGCGTTCTCCTCCCATGACATTGAAGGAAACCATGTTGCCACTCTCTCTCTGATACATGGCTCTGTTTTGCTCTGGGGTTAACTCGCCAAACCGGCGAAAGCCACCCATCTCTACCAAGCCATAGTGAATGCTTGAAGAGTAGTCCTGCACAAAGTCGAGGTCACGTGCAGTTTCTCCCAAGCCATGTTCAAGACACGCAAGTCTCCTGTCATGGTCAAGCAACGTTCGACCCATGTCACCTTGAGAAGTCTGAATCTCACCAAAAGCTGTATCAAGCTCAGCCACTTGCACTGACAAATGGTAATGTTCTCGCTCAATGGTTGTAGCACTGTTGACAAACCATCTGTAAGCTTTCCATGCTGTTCATACTACAGCTTCCGTTGCTTCAGTTTCCCTAGTGCAGGTTATGTGCATGACATTCCAAACATGTATATCAAGGCAGCTGCGCAGGTGCTTTCTGTTTTAAGCGTGGTGCAAAAAGGTCCAATCTGTACAGCAATGTATTAGAACCTCCGGGTCCAATGTTGGTACAGCAAGACCTAGAAACTGATCCCCATTCAAACTGACACCAGTCAACAACCCAAAGACCGGGGTATGTTGGGGTCAACCAGTAGAGGTGGGGAGTTCCAAAAAGCACCACCTCCAAGACCACGCAGTGGTGGTGCATGGGGATGGTGGTGGGTAAACAGATCAGGGGAAACTTGAAGCAAAATGGCCACGGACCAGATACTGAAATTTCCGGGTCCAAAGTATGAACACATATGTACAAGTACATGACACGTTCATACTACAGCTTCCGTTGCTTCAGTTTCCCTAGTGCAGGTTATGTGCATGACATTCCAAACATGTATATCAAGGCAGCTGCGCAGGTGCTTTCTGTTTTAAGCGTGGTGCAAAAAGGTCCAATCTGTACAGCAATGTATTAGAACCAGCGGGTCCAATGTTGGTACAGCAAGACCTAGAAACTGATCCCCATTCAAACTGACACCAGTCAACAACCCAAAGACCGGGGTATGTTGGGGTCAACCAGTAGAGGTGGGGAGTTCCAAAAAGCACCAAATAACTCGACCATCGACCAGCCGGAGTAAGAACTCCCCAAAAACCAATCGATGGAAGCACCCAGTCTGCGGACTGCAGCAGGCCTTTTTCTCGCAGATGAATGTCAAAATAAGAAGGCCACTTTCGACCTGTTTGGGTGATCTCAATACCTGATGACTGCAGCAGCTGAATCCAAGGGATAGATTGCTGCGACATTGGACCAACGGCAACGGAGAGCGGTTCTTTGAAGCGACTCAATTCGTCTGCCAACACATTCAATCGGCCAGGGATGTGTGTGATTTGAGGATACACTTGATGTCGCCGCATAAATTGGAAGTATGGGGTCAGCACCGCTGCCAGGGCTGGGGTCATAGTGAGACCTTTGGCTGTGGCAGCGTCTGCAGCGCTATTGTCTGTGGCTTGATGACATGCGACTGGACCACGTGTACAAGGCAAGTGGGTGGCAATGCAGAAGGACAGTGCAAATTGCGCAAGAAGTTCCCAAGCTGCAATATGCTTTTGCATGTCGTCACCTAGCCACGGCCATAGCGACTGAGCCTCCTCAAGTGAGATGCGAAACTGAAACCAAGTTGAAGACCCGTCTGGAAAAATGGCTGCACCACCTAGCCCGGCCAGGGATTGCGAAGCCATAGCATCAGCCGTAGCATTGACTTTTATTTCCAAAGATTGAACCGCTTCGCAAACATTTTTCGCAAATGACTTACGCGGAAACAAAACAAACAAAACACATGTAAATCAAAAGTTAAAAGTTGTCTCAGCTGAATCTGTCGCCGCGCCATCTTTTTCCACAGCAAATGGGGAGCATCCGTCCACGCCCCGCCATCAGGGCTTAGGGGGTGGCCTCTACATTGTAGAGGTAATAAATTGTGGCAAAAAGGGTTGGGAAAGAGAAGGGAGGGATCTTTTGCCACCGAGTGAAACAAAATACAAAGGGGAACCCTCCCACCACACCCTTAAGCCATAATGTTGCACACGCAACATATAATTACAACTGACTCACTTGGTTGAGTTGAGTTGTTGAAAGGTTGTGTGAAAAAAATTGTTTTGCAAGTTGTTGTTTCTGCGTAACATCCAAGATTAAATGTTTGCCACAGCTAACTCTTGTTTTTCAAACCAAGAGTTTTCAAAAATTGGATATAAGGTTTTCATCCCTCCGGGAGTAAAAACTTATTTCCAAAGATTGAACCGCTTCGCAAACATTTTTCGCAAATGACTTACGCGGAAACAAAACAAACAAAACACATGTAAATCAAAAGTTAAAAGTTGTCTCAGCTGAATCTGTCGCCGCGCCATCTTTTTCCACAGCAAATGGGGAGCATCCGTCCACGCCCCGCCATCGCCCCATTTATAACAGGCGTGACGAAACCCTAGACGCGATCTCCATCCATGGTATGGTGGCCTTCCGGCATCCTAGTGACAGCAGCCGATCGAATCTTAATCGGCTTGGCTCATCACTGATGTTGCTGTGCGATGGCACTCGGCTAAACCAAGACTTCAGCTGCAACGCCGCTTCGGATTCACAAACAAGCTGGATGATTGCATCAGCGACTTTGGTGGCTCCTGAACCTTTGATGAGCCCTGATCTGGCTGCATCATTGTCCAAGTAGCAGACAACTTGTGACTTGTCTACCCACGAGCCCCACAAAAATATTGAAATGAACAAAGGCAGCAATTCTACTTCGTAAATGGGATGTGCAGAATTCTGGTAGAAAGCTTCTTCCAGTTCGCTTGGCAGAGTGTCACCAAACATGGCAACTGGTTGACCTCTCGGACTGATTAACACTCCACCAACGGAAGATTGGCTTTCACAAGCACCATCCGTGAACAAAATCCATGTCTCAAGAATTTTCTTTGAAACTTCGACAGGCTTGCTGGCTTCCACTCGATGCAAAATCTTTTCCAAGACCCCCCGGAGGTCATTTCCAACGGGCACCAAGGCTTTTGACTCAGACATGTACTTGCCCAAACTTGAAATGAGAAAATTGGCCTGTCGTCCACAAACGAAATTTTCAAACCACAAAAGTCGACCCCTGAGCCTCTCGATTGATTTGGCACTGCACTCGCCCTTCTCAAGCACGTCTCTCAATGACTCAGCAAGTTCTGTCCTCCTGGATTCCGTGTGCCCCACGAAGACCAATTTGTCAACCATACATTGCAAGTCAAAAACAATTCCAAGTGAATTGAAACGCATGTCAAACTGTG